TCAGGGTAAAGGGGGTAAATTTTGAATTTACGTCCATATTCGAAATGCTATGCATCGGATAGGTTTGAGTATTATTGTTTATGCGTATTTGTATTGGGTTTGAACTGTTGATTAGCATTAGTGTTTTGTTTGGTTTTTGTTGACGGCATAATTTATTAATGAGCGAGTGGTAGTGGGTAGTTATGATTATAATAACAGTAACTAGACCACCTGGCGGCGGTCAGCAGATAAGATAACCGTAATGAAACAGTTACGTAATTACACTGTGGCTTACGTGTAACCAAATAATAGAGCGTTTTGAGACTTAAGCAATATACAGACTGCCTAATAAACATTAAGCATGGAAAGTTTTATAGAAAACAATATTTTTATAAATTAACGGTAAGTTTAGCACTGTTGATAATAGAAGTTTAACGCAACTATTTGCATTGACACTAAGACATGCATTAATTAGGTAGTTAGGAAGAAAGGGAGTGCGAGATATGTGCGTATCAGTCGACTGCCACCGCAGAACTGTGACAGAAATATTGATATTTTTTTCAAATATTTTAACGTAATTGGTGTTGGGTATGATATTTCAGTGAAATTATATTTATGTTCACGAATAAAATAATTTTTTCCGATTCGTTGTTTGTTTTCCCCAATTACATGTTTTGATAATATATCGCACTTAAAACATTGATGATCTAAATTTTAATGATTAATTACTGCTTTTTTTATTGGCAATATCTATAGGTAACTCAATAAAAGAGGTTGCACCTAATGAAGTATAGTTATATACGCCTAATAATATTCCATCTATCAACTTCAGAGTAAACCCGTTACCTTTCCCCTGATAAGCTTCCTCCTCAGTTAAAATTGTAATCATCGACAATTTCCTTTACATCAGTATTATTACAAATCGCCCTATCCCGATATCTTGAAAGCTCTGTTCACGGACGAATTTTAAATATTAAGTTTGTTATAAACATATTCCAATTTAAGATTCAATTTGATAGGCAGAGATATTTATTTTAATATTTCTATGAATTCGGATTTTATAGAGCTGAGAAATTCTGAATGATTATTAGTGTTTTTCTTATAACACCATGTTATATAGTTATTAAAAGATAATCCCACAATAACAACCCAACGGCTTTACCAACCAAATCTAGCTGTGACCTTTTATTTCGTCTATTATGTGTCGTATTTTCGTTCGTAACATAGTTAAAGAGACCTACGAAAGAAATTTATTCTGTCATTATTTATATATAAATACAAACTAGAATATAATATTTAAAAATAATCTTACCTACATTCTCACATAAATCAGCTGACTCTTTGCTATCCGCAACAAGGTCAAGCAATTCGTCATAATTAGGCTTAGGGACTTCTTGCATTTGCATACTTTTTTTAATTATTGTTAAATATAGCGGAATGCCAAATAAATTCGTTTCTCGGAGCCATGATATCAGATCTAAAATTTGAATGTGCATATTTTTGCATATTTGATAGATTTTGCAGAGTGTTTATTTTAACATTATTATGCTTATGTTGCATATTTTGACCAAATTTTTCAAATTTTATTATTTAAAATTAAAAACTATAGATACATATAACTATATATGCATATTTCAACCGATCGAAAAAAGGACTTTTAGTAATATGCTATCTGCAAACTACCTCCCATATCCCGTTATAATTTTTGTGTAAATATGAATAATACCATTGATTATAAATAGGTTAGTCTAACCTAACCTAACCATTGATTACAAATACTAGTATTTATAATCAATGATAATACTATAAACCCGTATTGACCATATAACCCACTGAAAATTGTCCGGATGTCGATAAAGATAATAGTCGATATAGAATAATAAATTATTTGTCTAGTGTTCAGTTCAGTCCAGGGGCGTATTTAAACTTACTTCTAGGCGGGGATGACTCAATTTTTTTCTTTAATTCAGGCTCAAAATTTACAAGTTAAATTTTTGGTAATATTTATATCAGGTGAATCCTTAATATTTGTGTTTTTTTTTTTTTTTAATTTAATGCTGGATCCACTTAGAATGAACTTTGTGTAGTTCTTTTTAAACACCTATCTGTGTTTTGAAAGTTTTGCTTGTTTTTTTATCTAATTTTTTACTGAGTATGGACTGGATCTTCAATCAAAATAATACATATTATCTATCGTTATGGGACATATAAACGTTATAAGCGTGTAACGCTATAAATAATTTAAACGTTATTCAATTTAAGCGTTTAAACGTTTAAAAAAATTTCCATTTACCGTTATTGACAATTAAAACGTTATGAAAAATTAAGCGTTTTGTGTTATTTAAATTAGCGTAAAATTTGATTTGATTTGACGTTTTCAAATATAGTAATACTATAAAATAAATCTTAATTTTTGTTTCTTAATAAAATACCCATTGCTTATATAAAAATTGTCTTGGTCTAAAAATTATCGGGGGGGGGGGGGGGTTGATTGCCCCATTCCCCCCCTCAAATACGCCACTATTTCAGTCGATTATTATCCGTCGGTTTTTGTGTCTCGCAACCACACAATGTTGAATCATACGTAAAACGTCGTACGCGATAATTTGTAACATAATGTTATGCCGAAATTACAACAGTCCACGAGTAGTCGACTGCAAAATTTTGTTTCGAAGTTTAAAAATATATTTAAATCCGATGGATACGTTTTATTTTGTGTACTATCTGGTCATTTTTTTTTTTTTTTATTGCATATGAATGCATATTTTAATGATTTTAGAAGTATATTTGCATGCATATTTGTATATTTTTTAGAGCTATAAGTCCCTAAGTCTAGTCATAACCATCGTCAAACCATTATTTTTCTGAACGGTCGTTAATGGCTTGAATGTCTGGTACAATTATTTATGGAGATATTTCATATGTCTCCCCTGGTTGGTCACTGGGCGTGGTTTACGCACGTGATATCTTGTGATTGGTCGCTGGGTGTGGCTAAGAGCTCAGCTACACACTTAGACTATAACGATACCTGATGTGAAGTACTGTATTTTTTTTAATTACAGTCGTACCTATCTCAAGCTGGTAGGCAAATTTTTAATTGTCATTCTTTAATTAATTATACACGTATAGGCGTAAAATAGCTTTTTAATATTTAAATACTTTTTTAAGTATTGGTCGGCTAATATTCCTAGGAACGCTGCGTCGGTGGCATGTATTCAAAATAATTTTCCATATATATATATGAAAATAATTAGTATTAATATAGTAATAAGTATTAGTAATAACTAAATTTGTGTGTGTGTGTGTGTGTGTGTGATATAATATCGAATGGCACTCATGAATACGGAACTAAGTACAAAAGAAATATCGAAAAAAACATTCCTAAATTTAATAAACAATTTGGCACAAATATTTCTATTCCTATAACATTTAATCTATTTATAATTCTAAAAATTAATATATAGTCGACTCGATAAATCAAACCTTCCATAATTCGAAGAAAATTTTCGTTTTCTTGAAAATCTCATGGTAAGTCGAATAAAATCCATTAATTTAGGTGCATTCGAAACTTAAGATAATCAGAAATCTAACCTTAGGTAATTTGAAATAAAATTTGAAAAAACTGACCACTAACAAGTGATGTTTGATTTGTAGTTTCATTCGTATTACACTCGAAAATGCGAAGTTAATTCACCAAATGTATTTCTTATAATCATTCAGTTAGTAATTTACTATACAATTGTGTATTAATTTAAATTATTTTCGATAAATATAGAATTATTATCGTAAATACTTTTTATTTCTAGTTCCTTCAGATTTCTTTCAATGTAGTCTTCAATTTCTATACTGTTCTCACTTATTTTTTAATAACTTTCATCGTGTTTTACAGTATCGCCGTTTTATTTGCTTTGTTGGTGACTTAAATTATTTTTACGCGTATGCCACCTAATAATTGCACAACACTTCAATTTCATTTGAGTCGTTTTTCTGATCGGTTTAATACTTTGGATTTATTATTTAACTTTCTTTAATGCAAAATTATGACCTTCACTAAATCCCGTTTCTACCTATATCATAAAACTTTTTTAATGATAATAGGTTTTATCATGTGATTATCAAAAATCTCATCCAGAATCATCGATAAAAACTTATATATGTGCACTTATACGTCTCATTTTGGAGTATGGTGTTGTATTTTGGATGCTTCATACTACTGATAATTTAAGATCGCTTAAATGTGTTCAAAAGATATTCTACGTTTTTCTAGCTTTATGCTAAAAATGACTTGTTCACCTCATAATTATACACCGGTCGCTACTAAACTTGTTCTGTCTTCCTTAGCTCAACGTACAGCAGGTATTCATTTCTTTGCAGGATTATTAAACAATAACATTGATTTCACCTGTCATATTTTCTCTAATCTGTTTTTTAGTTCCATTTTTAAATCCCACGTGTCATCACCAAGTATATAACCAATAAACCTAATTAATTATTAATTAATGGCTTATTAAAAAGTATTATGTTAATTGTCAATGCAGTTCCTGCTTTTACCAATTCTTATTATTTTTTTGAATATAATCTGTATATTATAAATCAAAGCTCTCCTAACTACGGCTCGCGAACAAGTTTTTAATGGCCATAAAAAAACGACGATTAATTTTTAATCATATGTAGCATCCAAAGTTTTTTAAAATATTTATGAGTATTTCTATACAATTAAAAATTAAATGTGTACATTTTGACCCATTAAGAGCTTTTGATACTTAATGTGGCCCTCGAGTGAAAAAGTTTAGAAACCCGTCTTATAAGTTATGGCAATTTAAATTATTTTCAAATTTTTTATGCAAAATAATTTTGAAAATTCAATAAGTATTAAATATTATAATTGTATGTTAATATGAGCTATATAAAAATATACTCCGTTATATTAGTAATCATGATTCAGATTTTTCTTTGTGGTTGTAAACTTGTCTACATTTATTCCTTATTTGTATGAACTTATGTATTCATTTTATTTTTAGGTGTCGTTCAAGCTTCTTCAAGTCAAACATCAAGCCAACTCAATCCACTACATATGATCTTAAGAGGCTGTTTTGTTTTTATTGACATTGGACGAGATTTAGCTCCGAATTATGATACTCTAAACGATAAATTAATTCAATTAGGCGCTAAAATTGAAAAAACATTAAGTAATAAACTTACGCATATTATATTCTTCAAAGGTGTTCTTAAAACAAAAAAAGTGGCTGCGAAACTGAATATCCCATTGGTTTCACCCCAATGGGTATATTATTGTTACAAAGAGAAAAAAAAACTAAATCATTCAGACTATCCACCTTTATGTATATGTGCTTACTCATTACAAAATATAGTAATGAGAAATCGTGTGGATGTAAATGAGATTAAACACCGTGACCCAAACGCCGCTCCTAGGCATAGCATTGAGGAAATTATTGATGAATTGAATTCGAGTTTAGAAGAAATTCATGAAATTGATAAATACATAAGCATTGCAACAGGAAAAAATGTAGAAGACATGTGAAATGCTCCTTCTATTACAATTATTTTATAACAAAATCTACACTTTTAGTTAGTCTAATCTAACTAAACTTTATACTTAAAATTATTATTAAAAATACATTATTGTTAATATTTTAATATTTCTTTCATTTATTTGTTTTTTTATAATTGTAAATACTGGTAAATTTAGTATTAAGTACAAATATCAGTTACTTTAATCTAAACTGGAGTCGAATTTTATGATAATGATTGTAAAATATTTTGTTTATTTTTATTAATATAACCATTTATATATATATTAAAAATCATTTCAAACTAATATTTTTCTCAAACATCAATAAGTTTATATTTAGATTAGCAATTATGTATAATATAACAAGTATATTAACTATAAATTCTAATATATCAATTAAGTATAAATTCTTAATAATAAGGCATCATAATAAAATAACAATGGTAAATAGCACGTAAAAATAATTAACGTACATTCAAAGTTTTCTTGTTCTTATTTCACAACATTTTTTATATTTTTTTTAATATTATTCTTTGAATCACATTGTTAATTTTTTTTTTTTTAAACTAAGTAATTAAAATAGTTTTCATACAAAATATGAAACTAGTTATATTTTATAGGTCAGAAATATATGATTTGTTTAAAGGAATTTAACAAATATAAGATACTTAATATGCATACAATTTCATGCATATTGTTAATAATTATAATATAATATTTTATAATAATATAATAGCATTAGCATTTAAATAAACATACATACATACATTTAATACAATTTCTTTGTGTGTATTTTTTTAATAACAAATTATACAAATATGATTTAATTTGCTTACGTTGAAGAAAACAAAATATTTTAAATTTTAATAATTCAACAAAAAAACAACATTATTAGTGGGAACAAAAAGATCAAAATAACTTTAATTATTTCATTTACGACAAACCTTACTTAAATAATAAATAGCAAATAATTTATATTAATGATACTCAGAACTATAATTATAATTTATATGTTCAACAAAAATAATTACATTTATGAATTTAATCAAGTGGAATCAATAAAAATGTATTATTTGAGATAATTAATTAATATTACTTGGTGGAATATTATTATTAAAATGTTATAGTTCAAAACTAAAACAAAATAACAAATTTTAACATTATTTTTTCTTTTTCATTGTATATAAATAAATATACATAGTGTTTACATAATACGTAGGATAAGTATCTATTATTATACATTTATTAATTTTAATCAAACATAATTTTTTTTCTCTAAATACTAAATATTCCATAAAAAAAAGACCTTATGACTATCGTAATTATATAATATCATTACATGCTCGCAATTATGCTTATGCTGTTGGACGTACACAAATACATTGTTTTTACGTAACAACAAGCATTGTATTCAGTGGCGCACACAGGATTTTTTTTGGGGGGGGGGGGGGGGGGTCAAGGTAAAAATATAACACATTTTATAATTAATAAAATTACGCAAATCCTTTATATATTTTGGCTTATATAATAGCATTAATAATAGAATATACTTTTCAATACTCAATGATACTTGGTATTCAATACTAGCCCTTCATACTTCAAACTTGTAAAATTTGTAAATTTTAACCTAGACCTCGGAGAAAATTTCGTGAGGGAGTTATAACCCTTTAACCCCCCCTGCATGCGCCACTGATTGTATTTAATAGTAGCAAACGAAAATGAATAATGTTAAATACTAACATGTGTAAGTGTATTTAAACTTTCGATTTTAAGTTATGACTGATAATTATCGTGCAATAATATAAAATTTGAAATATTATTGTAGAATAGGTAAGTAAGATACACATAATTTTTTTAGCCAAATTATTAAATCTGAAGTAAAACTCAAAAAGTGCACGAACAAATGCGATGAATATTAATTATTCTAACCTCTCAATAATGTATAAATCAAATATTCACAATAGTACTTAATAACAATATTACTTATGAAAAAATCATCGCACACTTTTTGTTTTTACGTTATAGGTAAAAAACTTTCTAATACATACATAAATGGAAGATAACAGTGCGAAAAATGAATGGGACAATCTATTGTTTTATCATAAATATTCTCATTTTAGATAGATATTTATAAATATAGTTCTAGTATTGCTTACATAGAATAGAAAATGAATAAAAACTTTTAAAGAAAAAAACAATTATACAAGTAGTTAATTTTAAAAATTATTTATAGAATAATATAATATTGAAGGAAATTAAGTTGTAGCCATTAAAGTTCTACTTCTAAACCTACACATTTTATACGGTATGAAACATAACTCGTAAAAATATTTAGAAGTTTAATTTTGATACCAAAAATTGTGCCCATCAACTGACAATTTAAACGCGTAATAAATATCAGTCTTTTGACCTTAATAGTATCCTATTATGATAAGCTCCCAAACCGGATATTTTCCTAGAATTCTCTGGTAGTACTTTGATCATGTTGACATTTGCGGTCCAAATTCGTTATGTTATTCTTCTATCTTCCTGAAAGCAAAATTTTTTTGTTTTTCAATCGTGTTTTGATTTATTAAATTTAATTTCTATTTAATTATAATATTTCCACCAAGTAACAATATCAAACCATAAATTATTAACACATGAACAATATATTTTAATTGGTGTGTATGAATAGTATTTCTAGGTGTTAGTTTACTCTGTTATATTTACCTACACATTTCACTCATATCGAGCATAAACACATAATTAACATAATATTATTTAGTAGGTAAGAAAATTCATTATCATATAACTAATATTTTTAAACAAATTAAAATAACACAGTAACAGTAATACGTAACACAAAACAATATTTTTAACTCGATCTGAATTCATCGAGGTATAATATCGCGAATACATGTTAACAATGGTAACAATAACCGTAAATATACATGTTAAAATTTTATGTATTTACATATTTAAATAACAAGTTTTATAGAATTGAATAGATATGTAATACTTTGAATTATTATTATTTTTTTATAATTAAAGAACATTTTGTCCGTGCCAAAACTGTGAATAATTATTTACCAGAAATAATTGATGTGGTTAAGTATTTAATCCTAAAAACGTTACGAACAATGATATTAAATGAACCAACATTTTAAAGTACATGTTATAATCGATACTACACTTTTGAAAATGAACTCTCTACAGAGTGCTGTACCGTTTGAGTGCGTAACTATATTTTATATATATAGGTTAGTTTTTACAGGTCAAAATATTTTTATAGTAATAGAAAATTTCTGACCGAAAAAGGATAGTGTTTTGTTACATTTAAATTAATCACAAAACCATTTGTTAAAAACACATGTATCATCTCTGGAACAAAGCTAACGATAAAAGTCATGAATCTTTAAAAGAATAATATTGAGTCTATGTTCTCTTTTCTTATATCATTCATATAGAATAATTTTAATTAAATTACTAAAGGTAGTTTTATATTTTATTAAATAAATGTACAACATGATTCGTTTAGTACTCTCACTATTTTTTGGTTAACTATGAAAATCATTAACGCTCTGTTATAACTCAATGCACTTGTCCTGCGTAGTATGTTCGTTGTAATATATAAGATGAGTATATGGCAAGTTCCTTTTTAAAAATAATTAATTCCGTTCTTGTTCATTAAAAAAAATTCGGTGCTTTGTCGTTCATTTGGAAAATTCACGAGTTTCTTTTTTAGTTCCAAATAAAATAAAAATTCTTATAAAATATTTTTTTTCCTTCGTATATATATATATATATTTATACTTTATAGAAAAAAGAATAATGGTTAAATTTAATTAGTTGTAACGATTAATATTGATACTCGATAACGATCACTAATTTGCAATACACACACAGAAAAAATGTAATTAAGCTTAAAAAAATGAATTCGTTCAAAGTGTGGTTCTTTAAAAGAATAATTCAATCCATGAATCCATTCTTGTTGGAACTCGTTTCTTCCAAACACTGTGCATGAGATATGTTACTAATCATAGTTTGACATTAAAATAACAATATATACATTTATATATATATATATTGATGTATCAGCTTTGGATCTTACTATTAGAGTAAACAAATTAGGTAGATACTTAATATTATATAGTCTTTTTATGTTACTCGAGATTTTCGGTGAAATATAATTCGAATTTTAAACGAACGGTCTTTCATTATAACGGTTATTTGACCAAAACGCTTGTAACATGTTTAAAATAAAACCATATGTGATGACCAAGAAAACCGCTATCACATAAAAAATAAATACATTTTCGCAATATCCTCAAAAAGTTATTAAAACGACTTAGAATCATGACCGGTTACTAGTCAGTAGTATAAATGTTTCATTTTCATCTATTATAATTAAACAGTATTTAATTCGATTTATTTTCAACACGATACATGTATATCTACGTAATATATTCATAATAGGTATTATATAATACTAAACTTTTCACATAATTACATCTACAAAAATACCTAGTGATCTACACTGAATTCATATATTAATCATTATGTAACCCACGTATATGCTACCCAACAGGTACTGCAGTGTTTTTTTTTTTTGAGCACAATAGGTAGGTAAATATTTTTTTAGATGGATAATTAATCCGTTTATTTTATATTATAAGGACGCTATTATTTAGATTTTATTTTAATAAAACAATAATAAATTAATAATAATTTTTATAGAATAATTCAATATTCAATTTTTCGAAACAAATTTTTAAAAAAAGCTTAATTGTTCGAGTAATATAATACAATGTTTACTTACAGCACCATGTTTTTTACTAATTTATATAGTGGTAAGGACTGAATTATCTATTTCGTCATTTATTTTAAATAATCATATCCAAAAATATGGAAGTACCTAGACAGTAATAGGATACTATGGGTGAATGTATTAATCTATTCGATTTTGATTAGGTAAATCACTATATTTTAATTCGTGATTCTTTAATGAAATTTAACTAGTTTGCTTAATAATGCACTGTTAAAAATTATTGATTAATAATTACTTAGTTATTATGTATATTAACTTTGCAATAATTTATACCGTTTTTTCAAGATTTCACGAGATTTTTTATTGCAAGTACTTATATAATAAAAATAATCAAAAATATTTAAAGGAAAAATGTCAATCATATATAATTCGTTTAATAAATGTACCATTTTATATTGTATAATGTATACCAATATAATTATACATCATTTATAATATTTTATATTCTTTGCATTACGAATATTTTTACTATTGTTCGTTAAGTTGGAGATTAAAACAAATCAACATTTGAAAAATTCTCTAACGTGAGTCTGTGCATTTATTTTTGTGTATACAAATTATTTTTAAATGCGGGAATTTCTTAACCGGTGCCATACAAATATGAATTTACATTATTTTGTATTATTGTTTTTCGATACTTTATAATTTAATGAATACTAAATACGGTGTATTATAATATTTATGCCCACAATATCAAATTTTTAAACAAATTAATATATTGTGTACATTAAAAACACAAGATTTTGGTGATTTAAAATGTGTTTATTGTATTTTTTTTGAGACATATCGATTTTATTTGAAATCATTTAAAAATTACAGGGAATTCTGCGAATAATATTAATGCTTTTGCTATATTATTGTAATAACAAGTTGAATAAAATAAATCCACTATAATAATATCTTAAAACCATTTAAACTTCATTATTTTTCAATAAATTTTATTTTTACTTACGAATTTTAGAGAAAATTGAATTTACAGAGTAGGTAGTAATTTTGTAACAGATTTAATTTATTACGTTTCTTAACTTTTAAAATGAATTTTAATCACTCAATACGTCGATTTTAGGTTATCATTAAAAATATTTATTCAATATTATAAAAACCACGTTTTCAAAACAAAAAAAACATAAAATGATGGTCGTATCAAATGGCAAGGTAGTTTAGTTATAAGCAGGACTTAAAATTAATAATAACCAATAATTTAGTATAATAATTAATTGTATTCAAAAATAAGATAGAAAATTAACTTCTCGTATTTTTGCATGATTTAATTGTTAATGTAATGAAAATACATTAAGGTCTTTATGTTTTAATTTCGAATTTTTTGAAATATTAAATTTTATCTGAAACTGAATTATTGAAATTTGTTCGGATCAATAATACTTTTTAAGAACCTTTAATTTATTTACTCTAATTCTACACAAAAAAAAAAAATTATTTTGCTTTTTTAAATGTTAAAAATATTTAAAAGATATATAAAGATATAAGATACAAAACGTAAATTAGGAAATTAGAAGTATTAATGTAATATTTATTAAAGGCATTATTAATTATAATGTTTTTTTGAAACTATCATGTCATAATCATAGCTATTTTAATTTAATTCAAGTTCTGCTCAATATCTCACTATTGCAGTTTTCGGGATTTATTTTAAAATTTTATATTGCAGGCACTTCTAATGTTTAGCATATGTTTAGCATAATGAATGTATAAAATTCACATCCTTGATTACAATTATAATTAAAAAAATGGTAATAAATTCGAAAATAGGTACAACATTTGTAGTTTGTACACATGTACTCGTCATAGGCGTGTTTAGACTTTTGTGGCTAGAGGGGCAGGTAATTATATAATCCAGAGGTTTTCATTTGAGGTTTACATACAAAATTTGTTAATAAAAACAGAGAATAACTTTTTTTCTGAACGGGGTAAAAACTCACTAAAGGCACAACATTTACCGGGAGCAAAGGTCTTGTAATTCCCCACTCCCTCCTAAAACACGCCTATTTCGTGCGCATTATATTATGAACATAATAAGAGGTATTTTTTAATTAACTATCATCGCGTGATTACTATTAACGGTTATTGTTATCGATTATAAAATATTATTTTTGTGCGCGTCAATGTTGTTTCACTCAATATTTGTGCGTGCGTGTTGTTCTCAGAGGATTCTTTATAGGACGTTGAGAAAGTTGACTTTTTTCTGCAAGGCCTTTTGTTGTTCGCCGTCCAAGAGCACGGAATCCGTGATGGGCGAGCTACCCAAGTTCTCCAGCAGTCTCCTGCTTCTAGTCGGCATGTCCGGCAATAATGGCATGGCATGCGGGGGCGTGTATTCACCAACGGCGATCGCAGGCCCAAACTCATCGTAAACGCCCCCGCGCCGTATGTAATCCTCGGCCGCAGCCGCAGCCGCGGTCCGGAATGTGGACGCGATCCGCTCCATGGATCGTTCCTCGGCTATCTTTTCGGCCGCGCGCGCAAACACTAGACACTCGTCCTCGGTCATCGGCCTCCGTCCCGCGTAACAACCACCTGTATGATACATGTATACATACGCCGCCATCTCGTTTACCCGTATTCATCAGATGTGTGTCTGTTTGTATATATATATATATATTTGTATATACATATTTATTTGTGTGCGTGCGTGCGTGTGTGTGTGCGTGTGTGTGTATTTGTGTGCATAGTCATAGAACTACAGGAGTAAACCAGTTGGCTACGACATATTCTGAATGTGAAAAAAAGTTTTCCAACAGTAGATTATATCTTTACGCTCAAGTGCATCATATTGATTATAAAATATGTTTTTATTAGTTTTTATATACATGTTCTCCTCCGATTGAATATCATTATGTAGTCATAATTCAATCCAGTCTAAACTCCGCTTATACCGTGAGCCTAATCATATTTTAATGTTCGCTGAAGTGGTTAGCATATAAAATTGCGTCGTGAAATACAACCATAAATACTTCCCATACGAATGCACTATAACAACAACTCCAATAAGGGTCTTAACTTCATTGAACTAATGTATTTTTATTCCTATTGAGTTTGTTAAAATTTTGTTAATATGTTACATATATACATAGTAATTCAAATTCATAAAACCAATACGTTTTGACATACAGCGTTTTTAAAAGCAAATTCATCGGTTGTTGAGAATTTTTAACCATACTAATAAAAACATTAACTGTGCATTTTAATAAATTGGTTGGTCTTATCAGAGTTGAAATTTTAAATTAAATATTTTTTCGTAATGACGATAACGAAAGTAGTCAAATATAGATCAGTACATAATAACATATTGTTATAATTTTGAAATCATTAAAACTATGAAACTCAAACTAAATTAAAAGTTGACGAAAAGTACCTCAAAATATGTGTTTGTAGCAAAATATATTAACGAACTTAAACAGTAATATAATAAAGCAAGTCCATATATTATATCAGATTTAAAGTGTATAACTTACGGATTTAAAATGTTTACTCGTATATATAGTGTACCAAATGTATTATACTCTTTATGTATGACACATGGTTTGATTTTTTTGTACAACTGATACATTTAATGTTTTTATAAGAACAAGATGCTCTATAATACTTTAAATGAATACAAATTTTATAATTCTTTAAAAATAATAATTCTGTAACGATATCAAACAAATTACTATATGCAACAATTCTGTATATACCTAGTATCCGCCACCCATTTATACATACTAAATACTATTTATTGCATAGGTAACTATTGTAGTTCTATTATTTTTAAACAAAGTGAACGCAGAACAAACATAATGAGTGTTCTTTGCGCACAACCCATAATGATATAAACAAAGTTTAGGGTGGCGGCTTTTTCAAAATGCATCAATACACTATATAGTCTACCACCGTAGATAAAAAATAATGTATTTGGCATCATATAATACATTTTATTATATTTAATTATACCATGGTTTTTAGTACTATCTATAAATACAACACCATTAATATCAAATCGTATAATAATATTATATAATAACAACACAAATTCCTATACTACACTAAATAATAAAAATAAAAAGTAATATATAGCCAAAGTTAATCTTTTCATTTGTTGTAAATTTGTGATGATCAAAAACTAAAGAAATTTAATGCCTTAATCATAATATGATGTATTATATCTATCATCGGAGATGGTATTATTGAGTTTTCTAGATCAAGGCTGGTCAAATCTGATATTTTCCCCGGGCTATATAAAAAATATTTAAAACGAATCAAAAGATTTCGAGTAAGATTTAAACATAAATCTAATAAAATATCATTCACTCTTTTCAATGCATCTCGATAATTAACCATTATTAATTTTCTTCTTAATTTAAAAAATTCAACAATTGCTGTTGATTCATACCAATAAAAATACATTTTATATATACTAAAAATAAACTAACTACAATTTATTTATATTTTTATCATCCAAAGTTATCTATAACAATTCACAAACTGTTATTAATTTATAATAGTTTAAAAATCTATAGTACTATATATCGATACTAAACGACCATTCCTAACACGTTACATAAGCGAAATTTCAAGATGTACTGTGATTATTGGATTATTAGTTATAGTTAAATAATTATTTCTCTAGCTCTCAGATAGATAGTTTATCAGTTATTACATATGAAAAAAATATGTTTATATTATAATATTATACTAAGTAAAAATTTAAGATTTCTCAAAATATATGTATAATTAAAAGATTTATTTTATCTAATCTCAATGTTATTTGTTATTGTTATGTCAGTAATATTTTTAATGTTTATTTAATGGACAATTAACATTTTTAATGATAAAATTGTAGTAGAAGTTTTATGATCAATGTTCATTAATAATATGGAAACAAGTTTCACAAATCGCATTAATTTCATAGTTGAATATGATACAAATGAATATATTTGGGTTTCAAATAAAAAAAAATATGAAGAAAAACAATTTTAGAAAATATTATCGAATAAAATTCAAATAAATGACATAAAATCTAAACGTCAAATACTTTCATGAACTGGATTTGACAGTGACTCGGTAAATCAGGAACTTATCTTAAGAATTCCCAGGCTACTAAGTACTCCAGTACTACAATACGCTGTGGCACCGAACAAAATGTTGAATGGTCCGGTCAATAGTCATTCAATTTACAACCTACATCCTACCCCACGCAAAGATATACTTAAAGGATTAGAAGTTTGCCCCTCCCAATAACGTTTTACCTATTTTAGCGTAAAATTTATCCACTCAAACGTCTTACACGGTAATCATTAAATGGGAAGCGTTATGATTTATAGTTAATTGGATTCATTCGCTCATTACTCGTACACTAATGCACCACGGCACCACTCGCGAACCTAAATATATGGTGTGGTCACGATCGGACCTTTTACCCCGAATTCGGCGCAACTGTTAATGCGAATTATAATAATGTACTTTTAAACTTTTATCCCTGCGCACAGTAAAACATACTGCCAATCAAGCTGACCGAGCAACGTAGTAAGCTTTTAATTGATCTATACACCTAGTGTAGTATGGACAAGCGTTGGTGTCATCAACGAACGCGATGTTTTTATCTTTTTTTTTTTTCGTAGAGCGTGTCGCGTGTTTGTGTGATGGTGCGTGCGTGTGTGTGCGTGTGCGTGCGTGTGTGTGCGTGTGTGTTCGTGTGCGTGTGCGTGCGAAATGTACTTGCGCGCGCGCGTGTGTGCGCGTGCGTACACATGTGCATGTTATGTACCTGCAGCGGATAGCGACGGCAGCATCGAAGAAGAATATTCGTGCTCGGCGTTCTCGCGGATCCGAGCCAAACGCAACAGCTCCTCGTGCAATCGTACGTTGTCCTCGATCTGCCGACGGCGGCGCGCTATCTCGGCCTTGATCCGGGCCTTCTTCTCCTCGCGCTGCAACTCCTCGTCGTGTTCCTCCTCGGCGGCCAGCGAATCGTAATCGCCACCGTAGTCGTCCATGTACTCGCCGTAACCGCCGCCGTAGCCGTCGTCGCCGCTCAGGTACGCGGTCGGGGTGGGCGACGGCGACGGGTCCCACGATCGCGACCGCCGGCTCACCGCGCCGTATTTCATCATTGCCGCGGACGGATTGGCCATCTGCAGGTGTGAGTGATAGTCGTACGAGCGGCGCGGATCCGAGTCGCCACCGTCGCTGTAACGCCGCTGCCGACGGTGCTGACGCCGCACATCCCATCTGGACACGAAATACCCACCGACTCAATGTCTTGCAATTACGGTTTATATATATATATATATGTAATCTGAATAATTATATCAGCGGACAACGGTAAACAACGATATCGTACTTGAATGTAAACTATACGGTATCACGTTTATATACCTCACGGTACTCACCTTTTTTGATCGGCCGAGGTAGAACTCATCGAGTTGACCGTACCACGTCGGTGTCCGTTATGATCGAAAATCGCTGCGGACGAGCCGATGGCAGTCTCGCGCAATGCACCACCCAAATATCCGGAACCACCGCCACCGCTGCCAGTGTCCGGCCAATGTCGCCATGACGTCGTGGACGACGGATCTTCACTACCGCCATAAGACCGGGATCTTGGTCTGGTGGGCAAGAAATCCTGTGGACACAGACAAACGTACATGTCATCGTCCGCTGCCCAATTTTCGAGTATAATGAGCACCGAAGTCGGTATATGGTTATGATAAACGTACAAAAAACATTCGAGATGATTCTCGTTACAACAACCATATAATATTTTGGTCGATCTTACTACAGATATTTTGTTGCAGAAAGATATGTATCCGGGCTAGTTTTTTGTTTTAGTAACGTTTCTACTGGAATTTAATTTTGGCGCTACCGGTTCGCTTAGACTGCGGAAATTGTAAACTTACCGTATTCCTTCCACTGTACCCCCCTCCGAGGACCACGTCGTCCAACATTAACGCAGCCACTGTACCGTCGTCATTCTGCAGTCGCATCAAGTCGTCGTTGTCATACATATCGGACATGTGCTTGGTGCCACTCAATCCTCTAATCAGCCTGCTGCCGCCACTACTGTTTTGCCTCTGCTGCTGGTTCTGATACCAACGTCTTTCCAGGTGATCGGGCCTGTAAAATATAGGTGTATACACAATAGTGATATAAACAGATACACAATAATAGTAAAATTATCAAAAATGCTTAACAATCATAAAAGAAAAAGTTAACCTTTGACTTTCAATACTTTGCTTGTTTGACAAAACATCAGTAATGCGTGTATATGGATGAATTAATAACTTAATTTAAATCTTTAATTATTTATACTCTATATGTTTATATTATTAGATGTAACAGTAATTTTGAGTAAGTGCTTTTTTTTTTTTTAGTTTTTCAATGTTTTATGAAAAAAAAAACACTGAGCCACAGTTAATATAATATACATTACTAGCAGTACTCAAACGGTGTCGCCTAAAAAAATAATTGCAAGTCAAATACCATTTCAATTTTCATTTATATTATTAAACGTAATAACATGTAAAAAAAATTGATACTTATTGCTAATTTTTTTTAATTTTTGAATAGATTTAATTAATAAGGGCATAATCGTGCGCTCGTGTTTGAACATTTTGTAGGTATAAATATGGACGGAGAAAAATATATGAATTATACCAGTATTTTGATAATTAATCAATATAAAAAATGACTTTGTAAACTAATTGGTCGACTTTTTCCGGATTGGGGGCGAAAATGAACAAACAAATTTGATTTGGATGATTCACGTGATAGGGCAACGTAAAATTGACGATGAGAAAAACATTAATCTTCTAGGTCAATTCCAGCAAGTGTTTTTTACTGTGCTTTATTTATAGCCATTTCAAACGCTAATTTAATAGGAAATTGATTACGTTTAAACTGAAAAGTTAAATCTGAGGATATAATTGATATTCTTGGTATTAAAATAGTTTCTCCAGTATCACAGCCCGTTCGTATTATACACTCGACCAATAAACAAATAAATTTCTCAATTTTTTGATTTGTAGACTTGAACCGTAGTAAAGACTGGATGGGCTCGAATTTCTCATTAAAATAACAGGTGACCCTATTTTCAATATCAGTTTATGAGGTGGAAATCTGAGGGCGTAAAAGAGTTAAGAAAATAGACAGTTAAGAAAGTCAGTAAGGAAATGGACTGCATCCTCATTTACGCATAAATGTATAAATACAAGTATATTAAAATTAATATAAGTACTAATATCATTTTTTTTTATTATTTCCGATTATAAGAGTATAATGTATTATCATTTCGTTTTAAATCTATACAATTCTACGGTAGGTTATTATTTTTTAAAAAATTTCAATCTCAAAGACAATCCCAATGCAAGATTTGATGATTAAATAAAATTTCATATTTATAATGTAAATTTATATTTATAAATTCACAACATTATAATAATGGTACCACATTACCATTTTACCACAATATTATGTATATTTATTTCAATAGTTATTTAATTTATCTCGATAGTTGAATATACTTAAATTTGAATCTAATGCATTTCAATATTGGAACCATAGATTCTTTATAAAAAAAAACAAATTAAATTCAAAACTATTAACGTTTAATAATGAACCAAAATCTTAAATAAAAAGTTAAACTATATTTATAAAACTAATTTAAAACCAATAATTATTTCAACGAATAAAAAAACTATTTTTTTTTTACAATAACTAAATATCAGATAACATAATATATTTAAAAATCAAATACAAATACATATAGGTATATGTATTATAATATTTTTATACACAGAATATCGCAATTAAACAATTTTAATTGTGTCACTTAAATAACTCCTAAATTTTTCAACTTAAACAACTATTACCTACTAACTTGAATCTCTGTATGCATACGGGTAAATTTTACTGTGTGATACTAAGTGAAAATATGATATCCAATTGAAAGAATGTAAATTATTCTAAAAGGCTTATGAGTAGTTCACCTCATAAAGTGTTCATATTTCGAAAACAAAAAAATTTTATTACTTATTACATAAATCATAGCAACAATTATAATTTATGTAATAAGGAATGTAAAATTGTTGAATTATGAAAATAATTAATTGAAAATTTATTAAAAATTTCACAGCAACAATTATACTCCCATTATCTCACATGAAATAATTGTATAGGAATCAACATTTTACCGACAGCTAATTTTACCGTTGTAAATCAAACTGGCATTTACTGGACTCATCGCCACATTTAGAATTGGCGCGAAACCATATACATGTACAATGGTTGGGTTTGAAACTTACACGTTACTCGTCGAACACCGGTACAACAGGCTGTTACCGTCGTAAACGCCACCGAGTGATCTGGCCGTGGCAATCGTTCTACCGCCGCTTCGGTAATGTTGCGAGTCCATGGTGCCGAATAGACCGGCATGTCTGCCGGTGGCACCTATACGGCGGTCGATGGACAACGGATAGCCGCCAATGCCAGTATCGTCGTGGTAAGACCATGATGACGTGGACGACCATGGTTTTCTGCCACCACCGTACATGCTTAACGCGGCCGCATTGTTCTGGGGACCAAAGGCACACCGTAAACACAACTGCAGTCTGCAGCGAACACAATAGGTGGTTGCACCACGGGCCAGACTTACCAAAGAATTGGCGGCGGCTGTCGCGGTGGAGCTCCGCAGTAGTCCATGTTGTTGTAGACGTTGTGACGTTGTCTGCCGTTGTTGTGATGTCGGTGCCGTGGCCGTTGTGGCCGACAGCAGATGCCTGAGGTCAGGTGGCAAACAGGCAGCCAGTTCGTCACCGCCAGTGTCCGAAGCGTATTTCCTCGTCAGACCTCCGTACTGTCTGGCCATCGACGGAGTCGTTTCTCCCGTGCTGCTCACCAGGCTCGAACCTAAAATTCGTAAGCACAGAGCGAAACCGTTAAAAAATAAATAAATTCTAATCTTATTGCTACCACATCCTTTATTGTACTACTCAAACTATTATCACTATTAAACAACTATTTACTGACTTATACTATACTATCAACACTATCTACTCTGTTTCTACTACTACTACTACTACGAATACTACAGCTGCAACAACGACAACAACAGCATATTCCACATGTGTGTTAATCATGGTCATCACGTATCATGGTAACACTCTCACATACACCCACACGATCTCGTATACACACAAACATATCCATTCGCGGTTGTTTGCAAAACTATCTCACCCTCTTTATTCTCAAACTCGGGTTTTAGTTTTCGTTGTCGTATATACCATTTTTCTAAATTGCTATCCGTGCTACCACTTTCCTACCAAGTTTAAACGTCAGTTGATGATAGTAAAAAGCGTTTATGGACACATGTGACGGTACGTCACATTCATCCAACTCGTAGATGGTCGAAAACATTCTGGACAGAAGAAACAATATAATACCATATCGAACTAAATCATCGTGTAGTGTAATAATTAAATAAAAAAAAATAACGAATTTAAAATAAAAATATCTAGTAAGAAGGACAGCTACCAGTACTGCATTCGACCAACCACGTACCCCACTATGTAGCAGCAACATAAATGCTTAAAGCAACGTCGTCGGGTCTTTTATACATTTATTACGATTATGATTGGCAAAACATGATATTATCGTAAGTGTTGTACATCTCCAAACTCGATTTTCCACGCCACGCATTATTATTAGACACATACATGCCCGCGCACACCCGTAAAAAAATATGATATGACGACCGAATGTGCCATAAAGCGCGCGGATAAGGGGGGGAGGGGGGTGATAAAAAGGAGATACGGTATACGACGGTGGCGGCGTTGTAGCAGAGGTCCTGTGCTGCTACGTACCATACAATCCGAAACTGGCGGGCACCCCACCGCCGGACCGGTGGTTCTGGTTCTGCAGTTGGTGCAGCTTCGCCGCGGCTGCGGAGTAATGCGGCGGCATGGACCTGTCGGCGGCGGCCGTGGCGTAATGCATCATCGCGCGGTCGTCGTGGCGCCCAACGGTCTACGCGGCGAACCCCTCAACCGAGGCAGTGGTGTGGGCTGCGGTGACGGCCGCCGCAGCGACAAAGGCACCGTCGGTGCGGACGGGACGGAAGCGCGTCGACGTCGCCTGCCCTGCGTCCCGGACGAGCGCACCGGAGGGGCGTCTTTCGTGCCGCCGATCCGACGGCGGTGCGACCGCCGCCCGCTACGGCGGCAGGCATGTGGTCGCGTGCGCGGTAATAAAGTCCGCGCGTCGTTTAATTTTCGCACAGCGTACGAGAAGTGGACGCACGCGGTTCGATACAATATAATGTATACGCGCACGACGGTAACGTTTACTGCAATGACCCCGGCCAAACGTAAACGCGTGTGTTTGTGTACGATTTTGTTTGTGTACGATACACCGCGGTGCTCGGCAGTGGGCTCGACGTGCGGACGTGTTCGCACGACGACGGCAGCGGTACTAGTCGCGGGGCAGCGGTCACTAGTTCGCACACGTACACTAGCGACGAGCGGCTAACGATTTTATTATTCGCGAGTATCCCGCGGGGCGGTTGTGCCACTCTGCCGCGAGCACTTGGAGCGCGTGCGCGCTCACCAGCCGCGTATAATACACGTATGTACGACGGCGACGGGTATAGCGCCTCCTAGTCTGCCGCGACGACGGCGATGATACCGCCTCCTACGCTCTACACCGAACCCGCAACGATGATCAATACCACCTCCTCGGCCACCGTTGCCGATGTCGAATCGCGCGCGGAACCTTTTGACCCTTCTTCCGCGGCACCACCTTCTATCGTTCAGACACCGCCGCCGCCGCCGCCGCCGCCACCGCCGCCGCTTCCGTTACCGCGCCACCTCGTCCGACCCACACCGTTTGTCGTCTTCGTCGTTTGACCTACACGTTCGCGCCGCGCGCCTCTACGACCGCCTGCACGCTCGTACGTTAGAGTACACGTACGTGTGTATACAGCTGCTGGTAACACGCGCGCGCGCACGCGGATAATACACAGCGGTTGTGCGTGATGGTCTTGTGAAACGTTTGTCGGCGGCGTTTATACACACTACGGCCGATGTCGTTATGCTCGTTTACCGTCGTGCCCTAGCGAGGTAGGAGAACACCTTTACGGGCGGCAGATTTAACTCGACGAGGTCTTACCCACTATTACCACGCTCGCTTCGGAGACTCCGATGATTAATTTTTTTTCCTCCCATATCGACTTCCGCCAAAGTGGCGGTGATTAAAATAAAATTGGTTTGAAAAGTATACCATCATCGTTTTGTAATACGTATAACGTAATATGATCGTAGGTATTACAGATATTGTAATCATATACAAAATGTACCTATTTATTCAATTAACTAAATCGTTAACGCGTATACGAACAAACTATTTTGCGTATTTTTATGTATGCACGGGTGGTCATAATACCATCATCACTCGTATAAAATAATAGTTACATTGTGGGCATTTTAATATCAAAATAAATACTAATACGAGACTATTTTGTTAAAATATATATTTATTTTTACTACGGAGGTTTAGGATGTACAAGATTGAAAGTTTTAACAAGCGATTCAGTGATTCTTTGTCTTTATTTTTACGTTACATATTTGATAGTAATGAATAAAATATTCTCAATGGTTATGTAAGAATTTTCGCATCAGAAAAAATGTCTCATTGTTATCACATGTTGTTACCGATGTTTAAAAATGTATGACAAAATTTGATATTGGAATTGATATATCTAACATATTAAAATCATAATAACTTTTAAATTGGCAACATATGCTATTTTAGCATTTTTGTTTTCATGATAAAATAATCAGTACATTTAATAAATAATTCATAAAAAATCAAATCAAAATTTTACTATGTTTTTTAAATATCAATAAATATTTTTATTTCCATCGTTCATTCAAATTTAATAAAAATCCTGATATGCTTAATATTATATTATAGTTCTTATAAATTAAGATAAAAAACTTCTTATTTTTTGGTACTTTAATTTTTCTAATTTTCTTCATAATCTTTTCTTTATTTATTTAGTCTTAAATTGTAATATTTCTATCAAATAAATAAACATATAAAATTATATAAAAAAGTTAAGTATAAAAAATTATATAAAAATAAAATATTATAAATCGTATAATCATATATTATAGGCTATATTGTCACGTGTCTTAATAAATATAATATCTATATCATATTTTTCAACCAAAAAAAATCTCACTTCATTGACATTACGCAATGTGTTAAAAATACCGTATTTTATTTATAAATATAAAATATTAAAGTTTAATATTGTAGTGTTTTTATTTAAATAAAATTATATCAATTAATATCTTAGTTTAAAATGCATTTATTTATAAATTTCAATAGATTTTCTACTTCGGATATTTTTTTTAATTTTAACTACCATATAAGAATATTTTTCATTTTCTTTCTAAGGTATTTCCATGAATATTAAAGTATTCAAAATCAACATACTATTATTAAAATTGGTAACGCCTATGTGGACGTAGCCACAAACGATACTGTAAACGTTTCGATTCAATCTGATAAAAATATATTCAACATTATAAACAGTTTCTATCGTCCTCGAAGCTTTTATTTAACAATATCATGGTGTAACTGTATATTATTAAATCTATGTTTAATTTTTATCAATATTATAATACTATAAGTTAAACCCTTAAACATTTTTATCTCAAAATGTTTTTAAATAATAAAATACAGGAATGAAAGCTGCATGTTTTCATGATAATTTAACTAAAAAAAAATAACTTCTTTGATCCACTATGAATATTAAAGAAATAAAAAAATGCACCTTTCATTTAAAATGTTTATAATTTAGTAAATTCAATTAGGCAAGCATTTTTCTATCATAATCATTTTACTACAAATAATATTCTTATCAAATTAAATAAACTATTTATTTATAGTTGAGTTGTATAATTTTACAGTTCAGTTTTGTCTAATGTATAATATAGAAAAACATCCTGTAAAATCATTTTTATTCATATTTAAATATTTGTATACCATTCGATTGAGCTTATGCTTCATTTATCATATTTCAATATAAAACTATTTATAGTTTTATTTTAATTCTTGGTTCTTCTCCAGAAATATTATATATTTTAATACAGGTACATTCAGAAAATGCGTAGAGTTCTTATCAAATTGATCATGTTCCGTAAATATTTCTTGGCATTATTCTATTATTATTCCATTTTATTTATTGTTATATGATATACTATAAGTTGAAAAATATTTTTTTCACCAATGTAATACAATTTAGCCCTCCTATGTTACGTCGTTACATATATTGACAAAAGTATACTTTCACAATTTATTATAATGTTTAGCATGTGTCTTTGCAAGTATATTTCTATTAGTTTAAGCCAATTTATATTATTAGTCTACATTCTTTATGCAAAATATCATTAATCAAATCATCAAACTATTATCGTCGAAGCGTGTTGTAAATGAAAAATAAAAAACATTAAAGCCACTAAAATACGTTCGCTACGAACATTCAAACTAATAATAACAATCGCTATTGGTTATTGTTATTATTATCGCACTATTTACATGTCACGGCGTTCTTTACGTACCTTGCAGTAGCCCCAAGGCCGATTCCGGTCTCACCGTTGAGGCCAGACCTCCATCTTTCTGAAACCGATATTTTAACAGATTTGTCTCGCTCATGCTGCCAGGCCGATTGGTAGCGAATTTCCCGTAACCAAAACCAATGGACAGGCTGTCCGCGTTCGCAACGTTCCGCGACGAGGAGAACGGCCTGCGTGCCAGACGTGACCACGTTAAACACTTGAACGTTTGAAAAACGTGTTATCTCTCAATATCACTTACTTGAACTTGTCCATCATGGCGCGCACCATGCGCTCGCGGCGCTTTGAGTTCGCGGCTGCTGGCCACTGCACGCCGGCCATTTCCATATCCGGTGGCGGTAAGTCCGGCAATCGTCGTCTACCATCGCGGCCGTTACTGCCTCGCAATGACGACGATCGCATCGAGTCCGGTTCACTTTGTGTGTCCGACGGTGACGCGGTCAAGTCTCTGAGTCCAAGGGTGCCTCCGGTCAATAGCAGCGGGCCTCTGGGTGTACTGACTGGCGTGTTTTGTTGTGGGGGTGTCACTGTGACAGTACAGAAAGAAAAAATGCAACAATAAATCTATAATTAATAAATAGAAAAATAATAATACGTTATATGTTTGTCGAAAGCTTCACGTTTACTTTTGCCATTGGATCTAATTTCATTAGACATTTCATTTTATTGAAAAAAATATATGTCCTGTTGTTTGTACGTTGTTATACACAGTTCATTTTTTAATTCTACGACAAATATTTTTTAATTGTATTGTGAAAAATTATATTATGAACGATAGTATTATGAACTGTGTACACGTAAAAAATAATATATTCAGTTTTTGTCTTCCAAATGATTTTTTTTTATCTCTTAGCAGAAAGAAGTTTATAGGATAGTTCATTTTTATTTCCCAATAAGAATAGATGATTTCGTTAACATGTTTTCAAAATAAATAATATAATCAAGCAGTAAGCAATAACCACAAAGCGCAAATGCGCTTAAATATTTCTTTGAGCATTGTTATCTTATAAAAACATTAAAATAAAATAACTTCTATTGTAGCCTAAGTGTATTTATTTTACACTTCTTTATGTCTTTTACATTTTTATTAGATTGTCTATACTTTTAAAGATAGCTAACTATAGAAAAATTGAAAATTATTTTCTTCATTTTACCTATTAAGGATAATTATTTCTTTCATCTTTGATAATATATTATAAATAGAGCGCGGATTTCTATACAATTAAATATTTTTGGATTTTTGTCAGTTATCTCCACGAATCATCATAATTTGAAGATAAAGGTGAAATTTTGTTTTGCATATTTCTGCATATTTAGAGATTATTGCATATTCTTGCATATCTTGGCAAAATTCAAAATTTATTGCATATTGAAGCGAAAATTTAAATAATCGATTACGACTTAAACTTAATCGCTCTTGCTTTATAAGTCGGTTATTGACATACTACTCGGCACTTGGTTACATCGTTTGTCGTTGTCCGTAAATCGCGAAAATGCCGAAAATAAACGTGTGTCTACCTATAATCTTAATTGCTCTTGCTGTATCAGTCAGTTATCGACGTACCAATATACAACTAAGTTTCGTCGCTTATTGTTGTCCGTAAATTGTAAATATGCCAAAAATAAGGAGTTCAATTTGTAACAAAATTCGCGAATGGATTTCCGCAACAAACACAGACACCGAGGTTTTGACTACTGACGGAAAAATAATATTTTGCAACCCTTGTGGAAAATCTATTGTTTGTGAGAGAAAGTCTCAGGTAGATCAACACATAAAAACAGGTCAGTACATATACAAATATAAATAGATTTTCTTTATTTATTTTCTATATTTTTTTATTTTAATTTTATATTTTATCTGCACATCTGTCTGCACTTAAAAATAAGTTATTAAAACAACAATCACTTACAACTAGTTTTAGATCAAGTTCTACCAATAACATTTTTTTTGAAGATTTATGTTTTGCTATGGTCTCTTCTGATATAATTACTTACACAAGTTAAAAAACGAAGAGTTTCGTAATTTTTTGAATAAATACATCCTATCCCAGATGAAAGCACATTACGAAAAAGCTATGTAAATACATGCAACATGTAAATACAACAATGAATTAAGTTAAAGAAAAAATTAAGCAAAATTTTATATATATTTTTGTAGACAAGACAACTGATGCACGGGACTTATACATTGCAAATTTACTTGTAGGAGTTATGAATAAAAACTTTTCTGAGAAACCATATCTTTTAAAATGTAAACAATTGGAGAAAACAAACAATAAAACGATTACACGATTTGTCAATGACTCCTTAAAATTATTATGGACAGATATGGGAATGGAACGGCGTGTATTACTTTTGTTAATAGACGCGGTGACATATATGATGAAAGCAGGAAATTCTTTAAAGATATTTTATATTAATATGGTATGATCCATGTAACGTTTACTGCTCTTTTTTGTAACCGTTTTGTAGAAAAAGTAAGGGAGTTATTTCCAAAAGTTAATACTTTAACTAATAATGGGAAGAAAATATTTTTAAAAGCTCTTAGTCGAATCTCTATTTTTAAAGAAGAAATAAATGATATCAATTTACCACCTGTTCCAGTTCTTACAAGGTGAGGAATATAGGTACATGCTGCGTTGTATTACGCAGATTATTTTACCAAATATAAAACAGTCATCGAGAAACTGGCAATGGAAGATGAGCAAATTATTAGAAAAGTTTTGGATATAATTGAAGATGGTACTGTTGTCAATGATTTGACATTTATATCTACTCATTTGGCATTTTTAGTGATAGTCATAAAAAAAATGGAAACTCAAAATATGACTTTACATGAAAGCTTTTCAATAATTGACGAAACAAAAGAAAAAATGCATTCTATTCTAGGATCGAAAGGTGCAACACTTACAACAAAATTAAACGAGCTTTCCAACAAAAATGAAGGTCTGAAAATTCTACGAAAAATTAATTCAGTGTTATTAAGCAAAAACGTTCAGCTCGAAGATTTTTATCAAGATCCGACAATACTAAGTTGCTTCAAATATGCCCCAATAACTTCGGTTGACGTCGAACTTTCGTTTTCAGTCTTTAAAAATATGTAAACCGATAAACGACACAGCTTCACAGAAGATAAACTTGAAATGCATGTGATTATTTATTTTAATAATAAATAAAATTTTAATAATAAATTGTTCAGAAAATTCCCTACATTTTTTTTTATTAAGTATTTAAGTAATTAATTAATATAAGTTAATTATATATTTTAAATAAATAAAAAATTCTTGTATATTTTTTACATATTTTCATAATTTTGACTGCATATTTTTTACATATTTTCATGATTTTGACTGCATGTTTTTTGCATATTTTCATGATTTTTATTGCATATTATATGGCATATTTCGATACTTTTAAGTGCATACAAATTTGCACTCTTATTATAAACATTTAAGAATTTACATCTGCTGCAACTTTAATTTATGACAAAAATTTTAATTTCAATTTATAAATTAAATATTTTATAATTTATCTTTTGAAAATATTTAACAAACATTATTTGTTATAATATCTAATTATTTCTTATAATATTTATATTTATGAGAACTAATATTCTATCACTAACTATTTAATGTTTAACATATGAATTTTCAATTTTAATGAAGTCGCAATAATGTATTGATTTTATAGTAAAGTTTTTTACTTTATTTATGATAAATATTACCACATTTTATTAGTAAGAGTTTCAAAACTTTTATGTCAACCAATCATAATAATTCATAATTTTTATTCAACAGTAAAATGCGAATTAACTAATCCTAAAAGTTGATCAGTGGAAATTAAATGTGTTAAATATTTAAATTTTTCCGTTCAAATTATTTTTAATAAAACCATAAGAAATAATGAAATAACGATTGAAGGCAACCAACTTATTTTGAATACAAGTAAATCTAGTTCTAAAATATTAAGAAATTATTTTCTTAGTGTTAGGTCCTGAAACCTTTAATCAACATTTTTTTTTTCAAGTTTATATAGTATTTAAGAACTGCAAATGTAGTTCATATATGTAGTTCTAATATAAAATATCCTTCAAAATATTATTAGGCAATATCAAAGTTCGATTAGGTATTCTATTTCATAAGAGATTGGGTACTATTTAGTAATTGGTTGTTATTATTAAATCAAAAGTACTTGATTGATAAAGTTCCCTATATTATACGTCGTCGTGCTTATTAATACAATGTAATGAAGTGATAAAATTATAAATTTATAAAAATTATTGTTGTATATTCATCTATCCTTGAGAAAATGTTTTCTTGCCATTGTTTAATTTAAAATTAATGCTATAGAATATGTAAAGGTTGCTTATTTTTTTTCTTTAAAATATATTTTTATTAATTAGCTTCCCTTTACTAAGATCATAAAAAATCCGATATTATTGATTTATATTGGATAAATATATTCTTTTTTAATTGTGCTTTATAGTTTGTCATAAGTGGATAATAAATTTGAATTTATAACTAAAATATATTCGATAACTCAATAATATCATATTATACATATTAGTATTTTAAAAATTGTCATCTTGAAGTATAGGAAAGTTTTAATATTCTAAATTAAAATAAAATACTCGATACAAATGTAAATATTTACTGATTATTAATTATAGTTTCAACTTTATCGTTATCCTATAGTACATATATGTGCGTAATATGCATAAATTAAAACAAATACATAAAAAAAATAATAATAAATATAAAAAGCTCTTAAAAAAAGTGCGAATGTTTTATAATGTACTTATGGTAACTGTATTATAAATTAAACATATATTGTAAAAAGCTATGTAAATGTAATTTTCTTTTACTGTGAAGTTTATCGTTTATCACGTTATTGCTTTATTTTTTAATTTATTCCTAAATATTAAAGTGTGTAAATTATGCAAACAGTAGCTCTCACGGTTACCATGTAGATACAATTAGCAATAGACTTTATGATAAAACACTGTACTTACGATGCAAACTAGACGTCTGTGATGTTTGCTGCTGTGGTTGTTGCTGCTGCTGTTGTTGCTGCTGCTGTTGCTGTTGCTGCTGTTGTTGCTGTTGCTGTTGCTGTTGCTGTTGCTGTTGCTGTTGCTGTTGCTGTTGCTGCTGTTGTTGCTGCTGTTGCTGCTGCTGCTGCTGCTGCGGCTGTGACTGTTGCGTCGAGCCCTGATATTTTAATGCGGCCGATACCGTCAAAGGTTTAATTCCGACTTGCTGTTGATCCGCAGTGGCAGCAGAAGAGTTGATTAGTACCGTGGCTCTATTTGTAATAATGCCAGCGTTAGCTGCCAAAGTGTTCGGATGCTGATGTTGCTGCTGTGAATAATTGTTGCCATTAATATAATGTTGCTGCTGTATTGTGGTCGCTAACGGATTGTCAGCACGTTAAAATAAGGTAAACAACAACTGGTTACACTGGTAAATGTGTGGGTAGAAAATTTATCTGCATAAAATAGGATTTTGAGAAAAACTTTCAATATGGTTCTTAAGAATAATGTATATTCCACGTTGTGTTAAATGTCAAAGTTTAATATCGCTAACAATTAAGACTTGAAAGTTGTAGAAGTTACATATTTTTCCATATGCTCTCAATTTATAATGAACCAACCAAGACCTTTGAACTATACAAGGGTTATTTTAAAAATCAAAAATCAATAATGTATATTTTGGATATTTGGACAGTTTCAGGAGAAAAGAGCATATTTTTAAGGTTTTCAAATACATATTATACTAAATGAATAATTTGTAAAAAAAATTGATTTCTTTCTTAACTTGTCTATGATTAAATATCTAATCTGGCATTGAAAAAAGTTGACATTATGCCATATTTATTGCATTCTATTAATTTTATTTAGCGCGTTGTAACTACATGTTTAAAAGTGTATTTTACCTCATGGCTCAACAAACCTAATATTTAATACTTACTTGTACCAACTGCTGTTGTAGTGGTCTAAGCGATGTAGAACTAGGTTCTACCACCATTACATCATTAGTATTATACTTTATTCCACCATTTTGAGTCAGACCTATGGCATTTTGCGTAATACTATTGTCTTCTTTTTGTTGTGATCCCATGATATACTGTTGAGAATTATCACCCATAGCTGATTGCTGTTGTTGTTGATCTTGGTTGGGAAATCTTTGAAATTGTGGCGGCTGGCCTTGTTGAAACGGTTGTTGTTGATATTGTTGCTGAGCCTTTTGCTGTTGTTGTGGTAATTGATTATAGGGATTTTGTTGTTGTTGTTGTTGTGGTTGTTGCTGATATGTGGCGTATTCTGGTTGATAAGGTTGGTACAAAACTTCTTGCTGTTGCTGATATGTTTGCGGTTGGGAGTCGAATCGAGCACTGCCACTGGTATTGCTGTCGTACCCATTGCCGTCCCGTTTGTTGTAGGGTTGTTGTAACGCAATAGTAGTATTCCCGGTACCACTCGACGTGTAATTCGTTTCGGCCTGTAAGTTGTTTGTCATGGAATACTGTTGTTGGCGCTGTTGCCCAACGGCCATTACTTGCTGCTGCTGCTGCTGCTGCTGTCTAGCGATATTTGCCAGTCCAACTCCTACGCCGCCGCTTCCGTACATTACGGCATCTTCCGCCATACCATAAGCATTGTTGACAGGGTGCTGTTGCAGCTGAGAAACGGCCGTTCCCACGTATTGCTGTTGTTGTACAGGCTGTAGCTGTTGATGCGGTCGTTGCTGCAACTGTTGCTGTTGCTGGAGCGGCGGCGACGAGCTGCTGCAGTATAATTGGTACTGTTGGTCCCGAAGGCTCTGACTGATTATGGACTGGGTGCGTCGCAACTGCGTCGTACTTCCGTTCGAAAATCCTTCGACAAAACCTTGCTGCTGATACTGCGACTGTGGCTGCTGTTGCATGGGTTGCTGCTGATACTGCTGTTTTTGTTGTTCGAGTAACGCGTTTTCGCCCGAAACCGACGGAGCTTCGTATTTATTGCTGTTTTCAGTGAATTTACCGCTGCCATTAATCAAAGGAGTTGCCGTCGATCCACTACTATTCATATGAGCTGAAACAAAAGTAAAACAATTAATTATCATTCATTTTTTTCGCATTTTAATTTGTATTAGATAACGTTAAAACCACTATTGAAGGTAATATGGTAAGAAACATGGGAAGGACCTCTAATTGGATATTCCTAAACAAAACAGTATCATAATCATAAGCGAAAATTTTGTATCACGATAAGAACGATACTAACAATTTGTCATACAAACCAATTGACAAGACTATCTAGTTATCAAGATAAACCGCTTTTTTACGGCGCAATGCCGAACAAATTTGTCACTCAACATTGATGGACCAACATCAGTATAAGAAAAATTCTCACAATGTATAAATTAAAATAAATGTTAAGTTTTGAGTTTTCAAGCGATACACAGAATACATACTGAGTTTAATCTACGAATATAATAAATATGGCCCGGAATTATCCGCATTAAAAACATAGGAAATATGCATGCAATTATGTACTGATTATCTTTAAAATATGCTAACAAAAATGCATGTTAATTAAATTAATTTAGTTTAAAAATATGTATAATAAATTAAATAATTAATATGAAATAAACAAATTTATTAAATATCTAGTTGAAATAGTTGAACTATAATAATATTGTATTGAACTGTATGTTGAATTTTAAAACATTTTTATAGTATATTGGGCAATAATTTGTAATATAACATAATAACCCACTTCCAGCCTGTCTGTGATTATAAATTATAAATATATATAAATACAGTATAAAATTCTCATTACCACGATCCTCACCTGGCGCAACGTACTACACTTTGAAATAAGAAATCATTAATTATTATTATAACAAAATTTTACCACTGGCCAACGTCCAATAAATCAGATACGATTCGTACGATTCGAGAGTAAAACGAAGGTTCTATTCACATCCGACGGTTGAACCAGAACGCCGATCGGTTTAATTGTAATTTTATTCGATTAATCGGTTAATTAACTAAAAGTATACAGCATAATACAGGATACATTATATGAATACATTATGTATCACAATAAAAAGTTGAATTAAATGAACAATTTTAAATTTAATTTTCTATTGTTTCTCTCAGCAAATATATCAACAATTTTATTCATATCAATACAGTGAACCCTCGATTAACCGTGTTCACTTTTCCAAATTAATCGTCCTTCGAAATTTTTCGTCTGAAAAGTTTTATTAGGTTAGACAAACGTATTTTTACATTACATACATAATACTCATTAGGTATCGAATAACATAAATGACCTTTCAACGAGAAAAATATGGTTGTATATGTCACAGGTTGAAAAGAGTTATTTAAAACTAATAGAGAGTAATAGAGGTTTTTCAACAATAATATTTATCTAATCGCTTTATAACTAATACATATAGAAAATTTTCAATTCTGTCGAATTTGTTCTATACTATTTATTGTATTTTTAGCATTTGCTATAGCCGTTTCGAAAATAACATTATACAAATTTAATATGCATACAAAATTATACATTTTTTCATAATTCGTTTAATAAAAAGTATTGATTAAACGTGTTTTTCATCCGTGTTACTCTTCTCCATCATTACCCCTGGTAATCGAAGTTCTACTGTATTTGAGACTAGTTCACTTTCAATGTTTAAAATGTATAAGTCAGTGAAACAGTCGTCAGTCATTGAAGAACATAATAATAATTACTTCATAATTAAAAAAGATTTCTCACACATTGCTGTACAACTTTCATAATTTTGTATACATTTTTTTTTTATCTAAAGACAATATCGCCTTGTCGCTTCAACTAATCTTCCCTATTCTCTGTTAGTCTCTTCATTTCTACATAGCTCCGTACAGATTTAATTTCTTTATATTTCCCAGATTTGTTTCTCTCCGCCGTCCTCTTCCTCTTTTCCCATTTATCTTCCCTTCCATAATGTTTGTAATTAACATGTTATGTCACATAATGTGTCTGAAGAACTTGGTTTTTCTTATTTCCATCATTTTAATAATTTGTCTTGATACTTCTATCATAATTAACACTTCTATTTTCGATTTCCTTTCTTTCCAGCTGATCTTCATCATTTTTCTCAATGTCCACATCTCTAATGCTTCTATTCTTCTTTTATCTAGAGTGCTCAAGGTCCATGTCTCACTACCATATAACGCTACACTCCAAACATACATTTTAATAAAAACCTTTCTAATTTTTATTGATAAATGTCTGCTTGTTAAAAGATTTTGTTTCTTTGTAAAAGCTTGCTTAGCCAAAGCTATTCTTCTCTTTATTTCTTTCGTGTATTTATTATCCTGTGTTATATGGTTGCCTAAGTAACAAAATTATTTGACTTCTTCAATAGATGTGCCTTATAAATTGATGGTTCTCCACATTTCTTTTCCATGTTTGTCTACTATTAGAATTTTCGTTTTTTTTTTTGACAATTTTTGTTTAATTGAACTTGTTCTAGTGCTATTGATAAATTTGTTAAAATGTTACTCAAATCTTGTTCACTCTCAGCTACTAAGGCTATATCGTCTGTGAATCATATGCAGTGTATTCGTTTTCCATTTATTTTTACACTTTTCGTTTTTTCTTTAAATTGTTTAATGCCACTTTCAATAAATATATTAAACAGCAAAGGTGACACCCAGAAACATTGTCTCACTCCTTTCCTAACCGATGCGCATTTTTTAACGTCTGTTATTTCGATTTGTGTTTTTTTGTTCCTTGTATAGTTGGAAGATAATACGTCTATCTCTCCAGTCTATGCCTATTTGCCTCATTATTTTAAATAAACTTTTCCAGTTGACGTTATCGAATGCCTTTTCAATATCTATAAACACTATATAAGTGCTTCTATTCATATCTATTCTTTTCTCCAATAATATTCTCAATGCAAGTAACGTTTCCCTTGTTCCTTTTCCAGGTTTAAAACCAAATTAATCGTCATCATTATTGTTTTCTACCTTATCTTTTATCCCGTTTTTTATTATATTTAGTAAAATTTCCAATATAAGCGATATTAAACCTTAAGTCCTATAGTTAGCGCAATCTGTCACATTACCTTTCTTAGGAATCATGACTAGTTTACTAATCGTAAAATCATTTGGAATAATTCCTGTAACGTAACAGTTTTGTATTTTTTGATAGATGATGTTTTTAACTTCTTCGTCGGCATTCTTTAATAGTTCGCTTTTCATTAAATCCGGTCCTGCTGCCTCATTGTTTTTAAGTTGTTCCAATGCAATATCAAATTCCTTCCTAATGATTAACGATCCTTTAAAAATCTATTTCTACTTTATCTTCTTGTTCAATGTAATCGGTCTCTTCTGTGATGTTTTTTCCATTATATAACTCTTGGATATATTGTTTCCATCTATCACTTATATCCTCCGTATCAATTAATAGTTCGCCCCTTTTATTTTTAATTATACTGCTTTTCGTTCTATTTTGAAACGATGTTGACTTAACTATGTCATATGCTCTGTTCATCTTTCCTTTGCTTATCTTGTCTTCAATTTCCTTTGAGATGTCTTTTATCCATATTTCCTTTGCTTCTCTACATTTTTTTGTTATGTAGTTTTTTGTTATTTGGTATTGTTGGTAGTTTCCTTTTTTTTATAATTGTTCCTTTTCTTGATCATATTCAGTATTTGTTGTGTTATTCACGATTTCCTAGGCCTCAATGTTTCACTTTTTCAGTTGTGTTGGCTGCATTTAATATACCTTCTTTTATTGAATTCCAATCATTTTGATCATCTATTGTTTTTTACATTTTCCTTTGTACGTTTGGCGAACAGTTCTTTTATTTCTATATTCTTCAAACTTTGAAGGTTCCACATTACTGGGTTTATACTTCTTACTTGCTGTTTCTTATACTTTGAACATTTTAAGTAACATTTGGCTATCAATAATTTGTGATAGCTTTCAATTTCTGCACCTGGGTAGCTATGGCATGATTATTAAAGTGCTGGAATTAGATTTTGTTAAAATATAGTCTATTTAGTATCAGTTTATGCCACCCAGTGAGATCCACGTGTACCTCCTTCTTTTTGGTACTTCAAACATTGTGTTTTGTGCTACTAAATTGTAATGATTGCAGAAATCAAGTAATCTCTCTCCTCTTTTATTCCTGAATCCTAAACCGAACTTTCCTGATCCCCTTTCATTATACTTTTCACCGATTATGGCATTAAAATCTCTCATAATTATTAATTCATCGTTTGTCCCATTAAGTTTCAAGGTATCTTCAATTATTTCTTATATGCTTTCTATTTCTTCTTCTGTGATATTTGATGTTGGGAAATTAACTTGTAGTATTATTAGACTGACATTCTAAGTTTTTATCTTTATCAGCAATATTCTATCATTCACATGTAATGTGTTAACAATATTCTCTATTCTTTATTTGCTAATTTTTTTCTTCATTACTAATGCTACGCCTCTCTGTCTTTGAACATCACTGCCACTTGTTATAATTCTGAATTCGTCACTATTTAAGTTACTATTGCCTTGCCATCTGGTTTCACATAGACCTAAAATATCGATGTTCTTTTCGATTATTATATTTTTTACTTTTTCTAACTTCCCTGTTCTTATGTTCCATGTTCCGATTTTTAATATGTTTTGTTTATTTTCCGTTTTATGTTGAAGTTTTCACTAGTTGACAACCTGAGAAGCCTCATTACTTCTCTTGTCGAATCTTGAGTATCTGAGTTCATGATTAGTAGCTTTTGTATTATTATTAGACGAGATCATGGTTGTGTTGGAAATGGTAATGCAGTAGTTTCCCCTTGCCTTCTGCAACGCAGTATCACCTCTTATTTCTAATAGGTGCTATCCAAACATAGATAAATCTATGCTTAATACAAATAACACTGCTGTCCATTGTTTATTTAGTCGCCTCTTACGACCGGCTTGGACTACCGCAAATGTATTCTAACCTCACTTGCAGGGAGAAACATCTCTCACACATTGCTGTAAAACGTTCATAGTTTTGTATAAATTAGGAAATATATTTTCATTTAAAACTGAAATTTTAGTGATTAAAATTAGGTTGTTCAAAAGTCATGATTGGATAAAAACAATTGGGAACCGCTGCTCTATATTAACCATCTTTCTAAATTTAAACTGATCCTTTATATATAGAGGAATATTATTTTTTAGGAATATCTTTTATCAAACTATGTTTGTAATCTTGACGACCGTCAAAAATTGTAATTTAGATAAATAATGTTGTCAAAAAATAGCAGTATAAAAGAGGCCTGTTCTTGAATTATGCAAGAACTTTATACTTATATTTTATTAACAAAAGTGGTATTAAACCCTTCAGCAGACTGTCAGGTATAACAGTAAGAAATTTCAGCCAAATCGGTTCAGTAGTTTTCTCGGTTAGCACGGTCGTAGAAAACCCCTTAAAATTTTATATAGTAATAGAGTCTCACACTTATGTATGCTTAATAGCACGTATTCAAACTTATATGCTTATAGGTTTTTATAGAAACCCTGAACAAAGCATCTGGACTAAATACAGTTAACTAAGATTTATAAATACAAAGTACAGTTCATTTCAATTATTTATTAAGTAATTATTTATTTCTGAATTATATGTTTAATAATTATAATTATAATTATTACTATAAGTTAATTTTTTTTAAACAAAAATCTAGCTCTACCTCCTCCTAAGGCATTTTAACAGACAAAATCAAAAATGATATAATAATAACATAAAATCAAATTATGTTAAATGTGAGTTATAAAGATTTGAACATCAAAGTTTACCTATTGACCGGCTAAAATCAGCCAACATGCCACTGATGGTGCCACTACTATCCTTATCTGCCACAGTTTCCGTCTGTGATAGCGCGTAACCGTGCCGTTGCTGCTGATACTGCTGCGTGTGATCTACTAACTCGTCTTCCTCGTCTTCTTCATCATACTAATAACACACAAAAAAAAATAAATAAATATAATTTAATTTAATAGTATTCCATAAAAATTGTGTTTTTGTTTTTTATATCGCGCATAAATAAATCTACGTAATATCTACGATTATAACAATACTATATTCCATCGTATAAATACCATCTGACTACCTACGTTTACATACCTATACATTACATTGTTGATAACTTCTAATTCATGACAATTTTTGATTTTGTTTAGTTTAAATACTTCATTATGAAAACTAACCTTTAGTCTTCAATGAAATCGTTTGTATATTATATAATATAAAATCACACTCTTAAAATTAATAATAATCAGAAATATTAAAAGCAATCGTAATAGGAATAGGGTACAGAGCAATATAATGTTATACTGGAGCATTATGGCACTGTAGATTTCATTATAGTAACTCCAGGCATATTTGCTTCTACTCTATATGATTTATGATATTAATTTATGTAAAATATACACTGCTGATTCTATATGTATATGCTGCTGATTTATTCTAGTTTCTACTAATATATTTTACTGCTATACCACTATCTACATATATATATATATATATACTAATATTATAATCGCAAGAATTCGATCGTGGAATTAAGTCAACACTATCCACGTTGTAGATGGTCGAGGCATCGGAAGCCACAACACAACGCGTTATAAAATACGATACTGAATACTGTATACACATAATAGAGAACTACACTCACTACGTAAACAATATAATATTAGTGTAAACATTACAATCACCCAACGTTCCTACTCTACTTATACTTAGTACCGTGTAAACATTGTCCTTGCACACGACTATACTAGTCACGTTTTCGTGTATCTTATTTAATTAATCATAATTAGAAAATTTATGTATCGGTCTAATTATGAAACCTATACGTACACATGGTAAATATTGTTAGTGATCTTGGTATTCATTTTGATTTAAAGTTATCATTTACTATATAAGGACAAAATAATTTCAGAAGCTAGACTTACTAAAGCAGGCTCTTAGAGGCTTTCAAGATATGACTTCTCTTTAATTATTATACTGCTCACTGGTTCGCTAATTGTTAGAACATGGATCACTCATATGGGTCTCAAAATCTGTATGTAAATCAAATACCTTAAATAAAATTCAAAATAATTTCCTTTCTAATTTTTATCATTTAAGTTCCATGTCGAAATAATATCACATTGGGTGTACAGGTGTTAAAAGATTTTTTAATCTATCTAAATAAAAATTGTATACAATAAAAATGAATTAAAATTCTTATTTAAATTATTAAATAACATAATCGACTGCCCTGAATTGTTAGAACGTATTCATTTTAAAACAAACCAAATAGTATCACGTAATAAATCTTTGTTCTATTTAAAATACATAACGAAAAATTACCTATTCAATTTTCTATGTAATATTTTAATATCCCAAGGTAAAAGTAGAAGATATTTAGATTTTTTTCAATTTCTCTTAACGAATTTGTTCTACAATCATATAATTATTATAACTGTCTTAACTATAATTACATTATTGTGTATTAAAATTATATTTAGTCACATAGTTTAATATTATATTCTTACACTAAATCGGATTGACATTATCTATTATTTTATTAAGTTTTAATTTTATTTATTTACTGTAAATCTATGTATAAAACAGTATAAAAAACTTTATTATATCACTGTCTATTTATAATTGAAAATGAAATTTTTATTCCGTAAAATAAACATTATTATTATTATTATTATTATTAAATATAGTTGTATACATGCAGTCATATTATAGCTGGTCAGGTGGTCGTAAATCTAAACGTGTGCGTGAGAATGTTTGTCAAGTGATAATTCATGTAAATTGTATTATAAATATCTACTACATAAGCAACTATATAACTAAATTACATATAATATTAGGATTTATGCATCGATAACGATGGTAACGAAGTATACTAATCCAACACCGTCCGCAACATCGTAGTTATAATACGCGTATAATTATAGTAGTCCGCCGCAACTTCAACACTACCACTACTCGGGTGACGAAAGGTACAGGCGCTACTTCGTCATCTCACGTCCACTACCTGAACATGTCAATGACAACGACGACCAACATGACATATGCTTACGCGGAAATCCGATCGACGATTCGTATTTTGCATTCCAAATGTGTTGTTACCGATCGCTGTCGATCGACTTTGTTGTGACGACATTCGATCGTTGCGGTTCAGTACTTTGTACTGCTGTTGCAGCAGCTGATTCTTGTGCTGCTGCTGGTTTTTGTGCTGCTGCTTAAGTTGTCGTTTCTGCTGTTGTTTGAACTGATGTTGATTCTGTTGATTCTGAGGTTGCTGCTTCTGCTGTCCCAACATAGGGTTAGTCGACTGCCGTTGTTGTTGAGTAGAAAACGAATCGCGCACACCACTGCTCAAGCAAATCGGCTGATTCAATAGCTTGCATATTCGATCGTATTCGGGAGTTTTTTCCAACTGTATAAGAGTGAAATCATTGTATAACAATAATATACACACTGAACGAGTGAGTTAGTAAATTTGGCACATAAAAATATGAGGCCGAGCATACCGTGAAAGTAGCTTATATAGTAGATGAAACAAATTATCAATTCCATGACTTCTATGTTTAACTATGAAATAGATCTACATCAAATGCAGTCCGGATAGATCAACGACCCAGTTCGTCACCACGGAGAGCTATCTCAATAAATATTCTTCAATTGTTAAAACAGGATAATATATACATTTTGATTTCCAAGAAAAATATTTTTTAACAACCTAAGTCTCTCCATTATTAACCAACTTGGTTCTATACATTTGGTTGAAATTTTATTTTTAGAATTTAAAGAATGAATACAAATTTAATTTAAAATAAATAAAAATGCTTATACATTTTTTATATATGACAAATGTACCTGCTTAATTTTTTTAAGAAGATAATCAGATATACTTAAAATGTATACTAAAACTACATTTACGATTAGTACGAGTATTATAGACAGAATGACATCACTATAATACCGATCAATTTATAGTCAATATTAAATTTAAAATTTTCCTGTTCAAAATGTATTGACATTTTTACATCACTTATCAAATGTCACACATTTGAAATAATAACTTATCAAACCACTTACTTCTGTATTATCAATAACTTATAATACTAGCCGTCATAATTACGAATATAAGTAAAATTGTTGATCAATTTATTTAGAATAGATTTTAGAAATATTAAAATAATTTCATCGCGAAATTATAGGCTTCATAAGCCGAATTTTAATAATATGATAAATCCAGTATTATCAATAATGTCATGATTTATAGCAGATACCTACCATACCAAACGCATATAACAATTTTACTTACGTTTATAATAATACAATGTATATTGATATATTTTCTACTGAAAATTTATTTTATTACTGTTTAAATATTATATACTTACGTCGTCTTGAAACACACAGTTTTCAGCAGTTGTGTCATATGCGATTGATACATTATTGTGGTCACTATCAGCAATTGCATATCTAAAATTTAAAATAAATTAAATTACAACAAAACCCCTTATTAAAAATAATATACAGATATGAATGTTAATCACTATCGATTATTTCCTGAAAAAATAAATAAAACGTCATTGTTTACCTGGAATTGCTACTGTTGTAATAAGGTGACGAATTTTGAGTATATGCCACAGCTGATTGGGTAACAGCAGAGTGTTGGTTTTCTATGCCACTAGTTCGAAATTTATTGTTTTGTAAGACACCTAAATATGAAGTTGTTGTAAGACACAAGTAAAAATAGTAAAATTTATAACTTTTGTTCGCTATGATAAGATTTTCTCACTGGAAATAAAGTGTTGTAACAAATAAATTGTTTTAAATAAATAAATATAATAGTCTATTATAAATATCTTAATAAAAATTGTCTGATGCTTTTAATGATCATAATTATAAAACGAATATATTAAAAAAATTTAAATGATAATTTAACTATGATAAATAATAATACTCCTTAATTTTAAAAATCATGATATCAATTTTAAGAAGGCATTAGTGGCAAATTTGATGATAATGATTATCTATCAATATATTTTTTAAATAATTTATGCTCTATGGACCAAGAGTTATTTATAATAATATTAGTGTATGAATCATAAATAATTTGTAAAGTATGTAATTGAGTTTAGACCATTAATAAAAAAAATTCATAAATTATGTAAAAATAAATTTTTATTTCTTTTGAATTTAAGATATTAATTATACATAATACAATAATTATTATTTGGCATAATTTAAAATGTTATGTTCAACAAAAAATGTAATTCCTTTATTAGAGTTGAATTGAAGACATTTTGGAAACGTTAATATTTATGTATTTAAAGACATTATTGTCTTTTTTTTTACAAAATATTTTTATGCTATATTCTCCCTATTGAAACATGTTAATATTTGTTTCTATTCTCTCTTATTTATTCACGATTCCGTTTTTATAACTTAACATAACCCAATTACGTTTGATGATTTTGTACAGTTCTTACGTAAAAATGTATGTAATATGGTAATTAATCACGCGTACAGTTTTATAAAATGTATGGGAAATTAATATTATAAATACGTACTAACAAAATATTGTTATGAAATTAAATATTGTGAATCACGTGACATGTTAATGCCATAATATAATATAAATATGTATTATATTTTATCGAAATATAAATATAAGGATCACAAAAAAAAATCCAAGATCATATTGGTCTGTTCAGAGGCGGATTTCTTATTAGGCACTGTAGGCAGCTGCCTAGAGCGGCAAAATTTGGGGGCGGAAAATTCTGTAGTATTTTATTAAAGAACATCATTCGTATGAAAAAAAAATTGAAAAATTAATTACTTTATATTTACGAAAAATAATTCTATGATAATATGTGCATTTTGTTAATATGTTGTAGAAATTTTGGGAGAAAATAAATACTCACACTGCCACACTATATTACTAATTCGACTGTAGATTAATAATCCTACGATTTTATTATGAAAATCTGTTTTTATTAAAATTTAGTGGAAATTTTTTCAAAATAAACAAATTAATAAAATCAAAAAAATAGTCTAAAAATTCAAATGGATATAGATACATAGAATGTATGAAAGATATAGGACATAGAATGTTTATATATTTAATATTTAGATTAGGTATTTTGGAAGGGGTAATATAACTTCTTCACCGATTATAGGGACGATAAATTGTTGGTGCCTATAGCCGTAAAAAAAATAAATCCACCTCTGGGTCCGTTAGAAATTTTAAGAAATATCCGAAATAGAATGTAAAGCAATATATATAGTAGATAAAAAGCCGATTTTTTTCTTTTCTCAACATCCATGCGTGAACTTATAGGTACAAAGTAAAACTACAATAATATGATAAAAAAAAATAACAATAAAAAATTATAAAGATTATTACTATTGTGAAAAACGTACCAGATTGTACAGAGGACGATGGATTAAGTTTTTTTGATGATCGGATTTGTTCGGCAAAAACGGATGATGTCGTAGACTCGTCGTTCAGCAGCTTTGATCGATGCTGAGAATCTGAACTCCCTGTATTTGACGCAGCATATTTCATCATGAATCGCTCGTTATCTACGATCTGATGTTGTAAGTCGGCTACGGCTGAACTGTAACTACTTCCATTGTTCAACCCAGATATTGCTAAAACACAACCAAAAAGGTTTGTTATTATAAGATAAAACGGATAAAAAATTCTTAAATCCATCCTCTAGATGTTTTGATCTTACAAACAAATTATTTGCTTTATTTTCGACAGAATAATCCGACAGGTACTAACGTATGTTATTACTACTATGTATACGTTATAATTTTTCTGCACTATTATCTACTTGATATATTATACCAGTTTATTATTTACTTCTGTAATTCTCATAAATTTATCAATCTTGAACTACAATCCCTGCAATAAAAACTTAAGCCAAACCAACTTATTAACAACTATACAAACATTTTTAAAATATACAAAGAATGGACAACCTAAAATAACTAGAGGGCCAATTTTTGAAACTTTAAAATCTGACGGACCATAGTAATATATTTTACGATTAACGTGATAAAATTAAATACTGATAAACGCAAAAATGTTATGAAGTAATTTGAAAATGACGCAAGACAGATAAAAAAATTACACAGGCCGGATACAGCCTGCGAGCCGCCAGTTGCCAATCCCTGAAATATACGATGCGGTAAATTATAATATTATAATAAATGTAATCTCCTGTGATGCACTGCAGGTAAAATGTATTTAAATTGTATAGCTTATAATATAAAATATAGCAAGGAAAAGCATATTTTTTAACTTATGATGAATTTTCATGTTTTATGATAATTTAATCAACAAATTACTGCGAATTTCTAGATGTCGAGGAAGTAGCCATTATAATTTAAAATCGATGAAATACTGTATCAACTGAATTAACAAAAATACATATATATATCTATTTTATAAAATTATCTTTTTTTACATTACATTTCAAAGAATGTTTATAATATTATTACTATGGACATTCACATAAATAAATATTAAATTGAAGACTTCAAATATAAACTGATAAAATACTGAGCAAATACTCTTGCAAACGTTGTAGGTGTTGGAATAAATAATTAAAATTGTTATTGTTAGATGATTGACAAAAAATCAATAAAGTTAAATATAAGTAATATAATATAAGGCAAATATATCTTTAAAAAGTAAATACTGAGTTTTCCATATTACATTAATACGATATGAAAATACATTTACAAAAAGTAAATACAAAATGTATATAACCATAAGGGTATTTACTATAATCGATATACAGTATATACTCGTATTATTACGTGGACTAAAAGAGATTTTAAGACAACTCATTATAAATGTATAAAACCATATTTAGTATACCGCCACCGAAGAAAATTACGTGGAAAATGTACGGATCAGTCTGGTATACTCAGTTGTGAAGTACGCATGTATGTCGATATACGGTATGGTCCGTTGTCAGTCAAAATTTCAAAGGATAGTGTCATTATGCGCACGATACGCTATGGAAAAAAGACCTCAAAATTATAAAATATATGGTTATTATATTCCAACACGTATGATTAAAAACTTAAAATATGGAAGAAAAACATACGACTGCTTATGTTCCAAATTTCAAGCATAATATACTATCCTCGATCATCACACAACAAGCCGAAGTTATTCGCGTCACTAAACCGGATTGTGACTCTATTATAGGGTGATCATATTTATAGAAAAAACATCGGAACAAATATGTTCTCTAAAAAAAAAGTCCATATTTTTTTTAACTTCAATATTATATGCAATCAAAATAATTTTTAATTAGTTTAATATTTTAATGTAACATTTATTTGCATTCTTTTTTTGCTGTGAAATTGAAAAAAATTACTTAAAATATTCTTTATTTTTATTGATTTGATGTCAATTGTTCATATTTTTCTTCATCACATCCTTTGACATTATATTTTTTTGATGAACTGATTGTATTTAATAATTTTGTTTGTGTTAACAAAAAATCATAAAAATCATTACAGGAATATTTTTTTAAATTATTTTAAAAACTATTATTGCTTTGACAGTTGGTAAGATAGAACGATTTTTTTTTCGTCCGTTCATAAAATATTTGTGATTGAAAATATTCTTTCTATTACTGCATTAGTTAATCTGCAAAGGTGCAGTAAACGTATATTTTCTTTTAGGCATTTTAAAAAAAACAATAAAAGTGATAACACTAACGACTCACAACAATTTAAATAAAAAGAACTGATACACAGTGGTTATAATATTAGTAACACAAGATCGTTGTAATGTACACACGTTACTGCACAACTATGTTCGATTTTTCGATTAATATACCTATTATACCTATTATACCAAATATCGTTGATTATAAATAGTACTGTATATTGGTAAACTATTCGTATTAATATCGATCTCGTTAGAAGTCTCGCACATGAGTTCGAAGTACATATATATAATATATATACACTATATGACATGTCTTATTTTTTTTTTTTTTATTCTCGGTTTACAATTTTTATGGAAGTAACGGGATTAAAACTGGACCCTATTCTAAAAACGGAACAAAAAGCGTCCCGTTCAAAGTTTGTCGGGACAACGGGATATAATGATAAAAAAGGGACAATCCCGTTTTAAACGGGACGTATGGTCACCCTACTCTATTAGTTAAAGATGATTTTAATTACGATGTTTTTCTTAGATTAAGTGATAACAGTTCAACAATTGCTGTACAAAATACTATCTCAAATCAACCACACGTTAGCCCTCCTAAATCACTAATTTCCCTCCTCCAATCCAAGTTAAAAATGTAAACGGTATTAATTACTATAGTCAAAAAAATTGTTAACAAGCACAATTAATACCAATCTACTATTTTTTTAAAGCTACCACGTCAGACATGTATTCATCCCTAAGACTGGAGAGTTTCAACGCAATCATCTTTTTGAGGGAAACTAGTTTTTAAGTACCACACCTTTCTTCCATCACATCTACACCCGTTTCAGGTTGTAACCAAGAACCTATAAACTACGACACCTACCTCCGATATTTTTTAAGCTTTGTCATTCTTCGGTCATACAGTCACAGGAGTCTCAAATATATTAAAATTAAACGTTGCTCTATCCAGTGCCGGATTAAACATTTGTGGGCCCTAAGCAATTAAAATTTTGGGCCCTACAAAATTATATTTACATACAACTGTAACATTACTATCCATTAGTTAAAATAAACAGCTTTAATTATAACCGACTAATATTAATAAATAAAATCGTGTATATTACATTATTTTATTCGCGAGAAAAATTAATTAATTATTATATTATTTCTACATTTTTCAAAATTTTTTATTATTATTACTGCATATAGCACCTACAACTTAATACATATTATATTTCTTAATGACTTATGTCCGGTAAATTCTTAAATAAAATACGGGTATTATTAAATAAAAAAAAATATAATTTTCCGTTTTCACAGGGCCCCTTAAATGAGTGAGGCCTTTATGCGGGTGCTTATTCCGCCTAATGAGTAATCCGGCACTGGCTCTACCACTCTTTTATATGGGTTTAAGACTCCCTGAAAATAACAACGAAATTTTTAATATCTTATTTCTATTCAAAACTATGATTAAAATTGAAAATCCTTATAAAGTTAATTAAGACCCATCTCAATGCCACAATTGCCAAGCCTATAGCCTTACATAACGGTTTTTCGGCCATTTCCACGTTGTTACAAATATGATGACGACCACCTCACTTTCGAGTGTATCAAAGATATAAACTGCCCAGACAAATTTGCCTTGTAATGAGACGATCATACTAATCCTAAACTCATTTCTTACGCACATGCCCTTTTTGTTTCTCAAATAACAATATTTATGTTTCTGTAATCGAAACATTGTTATCGAAATTCTTTCTAAGTTTCACTTAAATTAATAACTCACTTATATCTGTTCTTAATGCCATAATTCTTTATTGACAAATGCTCATCAAATTAAAAAAAAATAAAGTTACAAATTTTATCGAAATATTATCTCATATACATAATTCCTATTAAAAATTTGATTATAAATCATTTCTACTGTAAATATATGATTTATATATTTTTATAGCCCTTGATTATAGCCGCTCACTATAAGCGCTTACTCATCGATATAGGTATATAATTTACACGAAAAATTTTGTTTTTTTGCCAACTCATCGACCCCTACAAAATCAAAATTTTGAAAAATCTTTTCTTAGCGCACGGTGAAATTATAATATTAGTCTACTCTCAGCATTTCAAATCGATAGCTCTTATAGTTTCAGCTCTGCGTTGTATATGAATCAGTCACTCAGGACAGTATTGTTTACATGTACAGATTATTAACATTTCATTATGAAATCACAGAATATGAACCAAATCAACGGTCTAATCCGTGCAATAAAATTATTGTATTTAACATGTATGTAGTTATAAGGCTAAAAACATTTGTGAAAACATCGCGGAGTATTTATCTATATAGATACTTATAAAGAACTTATTCTATACCACAACACTGCATACTACTGACCGGTCAGCGTGTTAGCCATCTGCCGCTTCCTAAGACTGGTCACCCCATCGGCACCAGTCGGACTGCTCAGCTCATCTTCGTCTTCGTGTATAGTGTACACATCCGAGGAGGTCGGTGTTGCCGTGTTTCCGCCGTAGTACATTTGCTGATCGCTGCAGTACTGCTCTTCTCGCTGTTGTTGTTGATGTTGCTGGTGCTGCTGCTGCTGCTGGTGCTGCTGCTGTTGCTGCTGCTGCTGCTGTTGCTGATGCATTCTACTAGTGGTATCGCCGTCGTCCAACAGTACTTGGCCGTTTTCGTCCAAGAGAGGCATGGGACGTAAATTCATCAGCTCAACGCCACCGCCAGCCAGACACTCTGCCAAACTCACGTCGTCACTGGAGTCGGAACCAGAGCGCTCCCCTTGTTGTTGCTGCAGTTGCTGCTGTTGTTGCTGCAACTGCTGCTGTTGCTGTTGGTGGTATTGCTGCGTGTTTCCGACACCACCGATACCATATGGCATGGACACCTCATTTTCTGGCGACACGGGCGAGAGCTGTTCCTCCGGCGATAACTGTTGCTGATACTCATCATAACTACGCTGCTGAATGTGTCGCCTGGCCGCCGCGGCCGCGGCTGAATTGTATCCGCTGTGCTGATACGTAGACGCGGTGGGTTGCTGGTAAGATGAAGACGTCGCGTGTTGCTTCTGTTGCGTCTGGTACACATTGTTACGATCTTGGTACGACGCGCTTTGTTGCTGTGGTTGCATTCCACTGTTGGTGTTCCCGTAGTATGAGGATGTAGTGTCTTGGCCGGGTGACGAATAGTTTCCATTAACGGTGTACGTTTGGCGGACATTATCCACGGCGGTGATATTATCACGAGATGATGTCATTGCTGACGTTCTACAAAAAAAAAAAGTAACAGTAAACTCAAAACCAACACTGTACGTAGTTTTTACAGTTGAATATACCACTAAAATTACTTTATAATATTATTTATTTTTAATCTCTAACATCCGAAGGTTTAGTTTGATTTTATCAGATTTTCTAAAAACAAACATGTATGGGGATAAAATATTTTATTTAAAAACCACGTTACCATTCAATGTCATCGTTTTTACACGCAAATCAACAACTAACGAAAGATGATTCGAAAGTATGATTCGATGATTCGAAAAGTGATGACAAAGAAATGAGTGCTCCGTCGTCGCCTCAATTATTTTAGTTCAAACATTTAAGCGTGATAAATAACGACAAGAGAATCATGGAACAACGTCTTGTTTGCCCATGATTTCGAATGTACGAGTATAAATGTATATACATTCACGCACACACATACATACATACTCACATATACTTTACATACGACGAATATATATCGTCGGCAATGATGACAAACCTAAACATTTATCCCAGGAAAAAAAATGTAGAGTGTTGTTTGTTCTTATTACCTCGTTGCAGGCTGTGGGGCCACCGGTAAAACAGATTCACTAGCCTCCATGTTTTTAGCTTTAGCCATTACATTCTGTATTAAGGCACGCTCTTCGGCACTCAGATGGCTTAAATCCAGGCTCAATGGGTCCGGGTCAACAGCAGTTGGTTCCATTAGCCCTGCAAAATAAGCACATCAATATATATATTACAAGGTAACAAAATGGCGAACTTATAGTAAATTTTTGGTAAATTAATAATACATGTCGCTTTCACCGTAAATTATATGTACAGTGGCGTATACATAACTTTTATATGGCGGAGATCATTTGCAAACAAATATTATTTTTTTTTACGTTTAACGCCCTCACATTAAGAACATTATTTTATAACATTTAAAAAAAGGCCTAGGGGGAATCTTAGCCCCACATCCCCCAATTGTATACGCTACTTTTTAAGTTAATTATTTATTATATTGACTTAAATAAAGCAAATTATTAATTGAAAATAACTTTTATTCTTATGTTGACTTCAAAAAAACTTTCTTTAATTTAAACAAAGGATTTTAGAATGGTAGACTCAATAAAAAACATAACTTTTATAAAACATAAATACAATCAATCATGATGAACACAATCATTTACCACAGTCAAAACTATATTATCTATAATATGCTTTTATAAGTAACTTGTATATTTTGTTGTTTAATAATATGGGCATCATACGATTGCGTATGATCCTTATCGGCGGTATCTTTTTAGGCGTATGATTGCAAATCTTAACTTTCTTATTACGTTACCAAATATACACTATACACACAGTAAATATTGACACGGCTTGTAATGATTATTGCCGATACCTAACAACTATCTACTTCCTATTACAGTAATTGGCTATAATTGAGATCATATATTTTTAAGAGGACCTATTGATTTCGTCAGTATCAACTCCACTAGTTACTAATTTTTACCTCAAACTGATACTGTCATGCATAGCAGTAATATATTTATCGACTGGTTTTTTAAATTTTTTTCAAAAAAAAACAAAACTTCAATTTTTAAAATTTTAGAGCCCCGCTCGCTACTAGTGATGATCAAAACAAGATCAAGACCAAGACTTTCAAAACCTTGTTCTTGGTCTTAGTCTTGTATATACGCTTTAATCTTGGTCTTAGTCTTGATCTTGCACACTCATTCTTGGTCTTGGTTTTGGTCTTGCGCAAGACTCTTGCAAGACTCTAGCTATTTTCACAAAATATAAAAAAAAAAAAACTAAATCAACCTGTTATAGCTGTGTAAGTTTTTTGCTATGACTTCTAAGATGAAACTTAAGTCCCATATATTATGTAGTATATTAATAATATGAAACAATCCAACAATTTATTTTTTATTATAGGTACTCGTTTTAGACTTTGCATTGTAAAATATTATATTTATATTTATATTATTGATGATGAATTATTGATGAATTAATTTACCAGCATAATTAACTTTGTAAGTTCCTATTATATTTATAATAAATATCAATATTATAGACTACAAGTTTATGACAGTAATGAAATTATATGCTGTATAAGACACTAGTTTAAGTACGCAATGTCTAGTATGGAAAAATCATGCAAGGTACGAACGAAAATAAAAACGTACTTCCAATCAAGATGATATCTACCGTAGTCCGTAATGACTTCCAGCAATTATTAGTATATTAATAGTCATAAATTATTCTATGAGTAAGACAACTTTCGACATTTTCATCGATTTTGGGAAAAAAATATAATTTTTCAGTAATTGCTAAGTATGAAACAACTATATTACGTTATTTTGTAATATTAATTCCAATTATTTCTATTAATTTTTTCAATAGTTCGTCATTTCCTCGAATAATGATCAAATTTAATAACAATACAAATAATTTCATATTATTTTCGTTATAAATTATTAGTTAATAAAATTTACACAAGTAATGTGTTTTCGGGGAAAAAAAAATTTGCAAGATTGCAAGAGTCTTGCAGTTTGGTCTTATTTTGGTATTTGACTTGCAGTTTCAGTATTGGTTTGGTCTTGTTCTTGTAAGCCTAATCATGGTCTTGATCTTGCTAGACCAGTACCATCTTGGTCTTGGTCTTGGTCTTGCAACAAGAGTGTTGCGAACAGAACCGTGCCGTGAGGGACGCCTAGGGGACATACGCCCCGGGCGCATAGTTTAAAGGGGTGCCAAAAATTTATAAAATTATGATTTATGAATAATGATAAACGAAATAGGGGGCGAATATTTTTAATTTTGCCCTGAGTGCCAAATTTTAATGGCTTGGCTCAGCTTGCAAGACCGCAAGACCAAGACCAATTTCGATCATCACTATTCGCCATGCATGCCGACTCCACTCATAAACTCGAGTACCACTGTGTGGCACTTTTCGTGGAAACGAAGCTTCACCCCAAAGGGAATTATAATCTAAGCCTAATTTCGTTTTTGTACAAACCTCGATACTGTTATGAATGGGATTATGCTTTGTATGTGAACCTAAAATCTTGTTGTGCAAGTAAATCATATATTTCTCATATAAATTACTCATAAATTCGTCACTCTCCGTCAAGTTTTTTTAGAACATTTTTGGTTAAAAATTCATAAAATATTCAATTTGAATACCTATCTTAATTGAATTATAGCCAGTAAATTATTAAAAATCCGATACATCAAAAATAATTATCTAATATATTTATAATATTTGTAATAGAAATTTGGCAATGTTGCTTCCAATTTCACGCGCAGTCGTACGCTTTTAAAGGGTCAAAATCATGTCAATTTTTATTTCGGCTCAACGCAGAATAGTAAATCCAAAAAGGTAAAACGCATGCAATTGTACTCCACCAAATAATATTATTGGTTTCATAATTTTTCATATTTTAGGTACACCCATAACTAACCATTATTTTTGAGAGTATAATTTATTATCAAATTAGAATAGATTTAATTATATTTATTGATTGGATAATTTTTTAAATTTCGTTTGTATTAAATTTATTACTGTGTATAAACTTATTTTTTAAAACATTTACTGTTTCGTGTTTAAGAATGGATATGTATACACTTTTAACGTCAAGAAATACAAGAAATTATTAAATCAAGAAGGGTATTTTTGATAGTTAGATTGGACTTTTAAGTGTTCTTTTACCTAAATTTTACTTGCAAAATTATGAAACCGATAATATTATTAACAACAAAATATACAAGCCATATATAAAAAAATATTGTAATGATGATTTATGTTGATGAAATTTTCATTTTATTGAGAGGTTCAAGTAAACAAACAGGAAATTTAGTTAAAGATTCAACAAAATAAATAATAAAAGCATTCAATTTATATTCGAAATAAGTACAAATAAAAAATAAATTAAATTTCTTAGGTCTATAAATTTCCATAATAGATAAATAATTTAAATCTAATATTTACAGAAAACCTACTCAAAATGATTCTATAATACCACATGTTTCTAATCACTTATATTCCCAAGAAATATAATTTTTTAATTCAATATTTTATAAACATGAACGTATTTCATTAAATAAACTTAACTATCGACATGAAACCCTTTATCTATAGTATATCCCATAACAATAATTTAAATTTAAATATTATTAAAAAAATTCATTAACGTATTAAAGAAAAAATAAAACACAACTCACCAAATAATATTTTTGACTATTGTACTATGAAATATCAAAATACAAGTAATATAACTAACAAATTCACGAAAATTCTAAACAATAATACTTATAATGATAATAATCACAAAAACCCTTTTTTTGAAAATGCTGCTATATATAAACTTAAATATAACTCTCATACATTTTATAAAGACAAGACAAAAATATAAATTTTAAAATAAGATCTAAAGAACACATATCTGAAATAAAATTTAAAAAAAACCGTCCCTACTTCAAAGTTTACTAAATATATCTTACTTATAGAAAATAACCATAATATATGTTTTAATATCAATAGACTTAAAAATATTAAATACCTAAAATAACATTTACATTAATTCGGTTTTAGAAGAGTCACACATATACAATGAAATAAAGAAAAACAATTTTAGTAATATTTTAAATGTATAAACCTATTTTAAAAATAATGTCTTATATCAATAAATTTTAGATAATAATAAATAACTATAACCAAAGTATTTATACTTCTTAACATATCTATATCTAATAAGAATTAATTTTAAATAATCTGTATCTAATAAGAATAAGTTTTAAATAATTTACGTCTAATAAGAACTCATTTTAAATAATCTCTCTGATTAAAATAAATTATCTCTATGTAAAACGACTAATTTTTCTTAATGTATTCCTTCCTTTATTTTTTTATATTCAGTCACAATTTTATTAACTTAATATATACCTGTTGATGAATTTTTAATTCAAATGCGGCCATACTTTAAAAATATAATAATAATCAAGGCAAAACTTTTATTTATATTTTTATTTATTTATTTATGTGTATAAACTACATGTTTATTAGTTTATGTATTCGAAAACATATATCTGCGTGGTAGGGATCTCACAAAGAGAATATATATAGAAGCTAAAATAGCATAGCTATATATATATATACAAAAGCAAATTAAGTTGAATAATTTATTCATGTAATTTTGATCGTATAATTTAACATTTTATCCGATATAGACTTTCATTGCATAAAATAAAATTATTATTAAAAAGACAAAAATGTTGTATACAAGTCCACTTCGCTCCGCTCATTGTCGGTGGTATAAAATATATCATCTTGTTATTTGTCACCTCTTCCCACCAAAGCCTTGAGAGAATTCAAAGTGTATATATTTCGAATTCCCCTGCGAGAACACATGGCTTGTTACAAAGAAAATCGATATTTTTTAACCCAGTTTCGCATACACGAGTGCACGCCTTCGTGCATGCAATCCTTTTGAGGTCGTCACTGCCATACGCAAGACATAATTTATTGTTGTATTAATTATACTCGTCTTTTTATTAAAATATCGACTTAATAAGGAGGAACAAAAGAACAATAACTTAACTGGATTCCGGGTGAAAATGAAAATTAATTTACGTGTATATCCGATATTCTTTACAAATTAGAAATAATAGTCTTCAATAAAATTTTAAACGGATAACTTTTACTATTACAGAATATATTT